AGCTACGGGAACGCCGCTGAAGCCGGCATAGATGGTATGTTCAGTCAGTGTGTGTGTGGGGGGGGGGTGAAATTTATTCTGTCTCAATAGCCTCCACATGGGCTAACCTTGGGTCCCTATTCTATTTTCACGGGCCTTTCTCGAAAAGAGACTAAGCAGTGTGGATCTCTTCAATGAATGTTTTTTTTCTTTTTCATATTTTATTGTTTTGCAGATCCCAGAAAGGGCAATATCAACTTGGCTTGAGTGTTCTTCACAAAACGGCCGTCGTTTTTTTTTAAGAATCAACCGGCAAAAACAATAGACAAAGACATCACCTGTACAAATACTAAATAAAACTTTTGCGTTAACTGGAAAAACAATCGTTAAAAACAATTTGTCAATTTCAAATTGACCAAATTTCTTGTGCTGTTTGATTTCTCTTCTGTGTACCCAGTTTCTCTGTAAATAGTGTTAGAAACCACAACATGAAAGCGTGCAGAAGGTTCGCAACTTGGCCCAATTTCACGGCGCGCTGCTAAGCAAACGATTTCTAGTCATAGTAGTGTATGCTTAGTTCATGGATACTGTGACCATTAAGCATAGCAAAAGGCACGCTCACCCCGGATGAAAAATTTACCTATTAACTTAGTGACGTGACAATGGAAATCTCCAAGCGCCTCGATGCAATTTTTGTGTTAAGCACAGCAACCGTGTTTATAATGTTCACCGTGAAATACTCTTACCGTCTGGCACATTTTGTGCCATGGTTAGAAAAATAAACGTGGTAAGCAGCTCGGCAAAATAAGCACATTGCGAGCTAAATTTGAATAAAGTCTGGTACGATGAGTTATCTGACTGCACATTAACGTAACGATTTGAATTCCCCTGACTGAAGACACCACTGTTGCTATACCTCTAAACGACCACCATCTCTGGAATGGACTGGTTCCTTTGCGCCCTTCTTATCCACTGAGAACGGTGTATTGTTGTAAGGCGTCTCTTATGTAACTAAGCAAAAGCCTGCCCCGAATCACTAAGTATAGCAACGGGGTCTGTAGTATAGAGAATTTAAGAAAATCAGTGTGTGAGGTTTTATTCAAATTTAACTCACAAAAGGCTTATTGGGCCTTGCGTTTGAATTGACAAGGACGAAAAAGACGGAAAAGCGTCTTCAGACACTTAGAAACAACCGTAGGATAACTAGAGGTGTAGATTACTTTATTTACTATGTTTCACCGCATAAGAACTTGCATAGTATTCTTGCTCGTGACCTGTAATGGAAAGATATTAAAAAAATGTTTTAAAAATCATTATATATAAAGTTTAGTGCAGTCTGCATTTACCAAAAATGTGTAACTCTTTTCCATTCTTTTAAACTCTTTTTCTTTGGTAAATTCCAATTTCGCTGTTACCTTGTGTGTATTTCACGAATTTGTAATTTGTGACCCACCAAAACAGCCACGTATTTTGTATTGTACGTGTATTTCAGTTAAATACTAATTGTTTAATTGCTTGGTGTTTATATCAGAAATTAGAGTGATAATTAGAAATGAAATCATAATCACCATCAAATAATTCCTTACGCCACAAAGATAATTAGCCATGCTACGTTTTAAAAATAAAAAAACAAAAAGGACAATAAATCATGTTATCTTACATTCCCTCTGGTGCAAAACCAGACCCAGTGCGGACAACCTAAGATTGTATACAACCAACAACCGCTTGCCGTCGCGCGGGCTCCTGCGATACTTGTAACCACTTCGGCTGCTGCTGCCGTCCCACCCCCTAGCTACGGGGCCGCGGCGGCAGTCGGCACGGACGGTATGCATTGCCAATTGATCATACCGGATGGGGGCGAGAGTGCGACAGCAGGCATTCTATGTACCGCAAAACACGAGGGGCAAGCTCGGTCAGTGACAGATAGTCAACCACTGGTTAATTTTGACTGGTAATCTATGCATTAAATATAATTATACTGAGCACCAGGGCAAAATCGACCAATGGTTAAGAAATTGTCGCTAGTCGGAATTGCCTACAGTTGTGCGTGAGACGCGTTGCCGAGTTCGAGTGCAGGAAAGGAATGTGCCCACATACTTACAGAAGACAAAATGGGGAAGATGGTGGTAAACCCAACTGCAAAATGCCATTGATGGACTGAGAGCGCAGTGCACTATTGAAAAGTTTGTTGTTACCGCGGCCTGAGTCATTTTCATCAAACAATTTTACCGTCTTACCACTCATGCACAGCTAGTATGATGTAGCTCGTAATAAGAAGTCAATTAATTGAATCTGACTCATAGGGAACGTGTCATCGATAGTTTGCGGCAGGAATTACGACGACAGCCCCGGTCAAAGGAAGAAACTCTACGCCGTAGTGGCGCGCTGCGCACGCGTGTTGACCTTTGAAATGAACCCATCGGAACAGTTGCTCTGATTGTCAGCCTGTGCCGGTCATAATGTCACTTGCAAAGTCTCATCCTGTGCCTTTTAAAACCTTGGTCGTCACTGCCAACTTTTGCTATTTAATGTGCCCAAGTGAGTAAAACCAGTAGACTGGGTGAAATTCATGCTGTCTCAATGGCCTCCATTTGAACTCTTACTGACCAACTGCACGATTTTCTGGCCGTGTCGGCTTGGTGACGGGATACTGGGTCCTTGTTCTATTGCTACGTGCCCTCTTTGAAAGCAAACGATGCAGTCTGGACCCCTTCAGTGAAGGCTGTTCTTTTTCATTTTGTATTGTCTTTCAGACCCTGGAAAGGGCATTGTCAAGTTGGTGTGAGTCTACTTCACAAAACAGCCGTCGGTTTTTCCCGAACACTGGTCAACAATGATAATATATCAACTTTCACGGGTTTAAAAATTAATCATTTAAAAACAAACCGTCAATTTCAAAATGATCAGAATTTCTTCCGTTGTTTGCTTTTCTCATCTATATAACCCCTGTTTGTGAATAGTGCTCGATATCACAAGCTCGAAGCGGAAGATTCGAAACTGGTAATAAATTGTCAGGGGGAGGAGGGCAGAAAAGCATCTTGAGACACTTAGAAACAAACGCAGGATACCTGGAGGTGTAGCTTAATACGGGCGATTCACAATAGTGCACCCCTCGAGAGTTTGCAACGAGTTGACCAATCACAACGCGCGAAATCTGTCTGCCCTTTCTGAACGTGCATTGGGTTGACAGATTTCGCACATTGTGATTGGCCAACGCATTGCAAACTCTTGGAGGCGCACTATTGTGAATAGCCCGTATTCATGCAACTTGCCTCGCCGCATAAGAATCTAATGTATTCTTACTGTAATGGACCCAGATATTATATTTATAAAAATTATTTTACAGCACATTAGCGTAGTCTGCAATTAACCAGATCGCGCAAACCAGCTCGCCCCACCTCATGACATTAAATAGCACCACCTGTGTAAAAGCCCCCACCCATCAACGCAACCGCGTATAGGCAGTCGCCTCTTTCAACAAAGCAGTTTCCAGGGACAGATTCAGTCGGTGCACGCAGCACGCACTGCGGTGCCACTTTCAGCATGCAGAGGGCGAACGCCTTCGTCGACTCCTACTGAATAATTCAGCAGCGGGCGTAATTCACACAATGTCATGCAGATTCCTTTCAGCCAATCATCCTTAGCGCCTTATGCGGCTTCTGATCATCCACGCACGACGTCGTAAGTTCTGATCGCCTCCATTAAATATGACCATCATCTTATAAGAGGTATAGACGAAATAAATGTCTTCTCTGTCTGCGAAAATTAATTTTGCCAAGAGACTCAGTAGACCCCAAAACTAGGAAAAGCAAAGCCCGGAATCTTAAACTGTGAATCAAATTGAGCGCTGGTGTTTTGTCGCGTGCCATCTTGCCCGCGTAGATCAAAATTCCAGTAATACCAGCGATCGCCTGGACAAGACAAAATTGGACCTGATATTCAAATTGCGACTTTGGAAGTGTTTCTTCCTTGGTGATTAAATTACGCCAACCAAAAGGAAATAAAACGGGGAAAAGACAAACTCTCGACCATGAATCGTTTCTTCTTCCTGCGGCTTTAGCTCAAGGGGGGGGGCACAAGGGGGAGGCGCACCGGCATCTGGAGGCACCAGCTTTCAGTGGTGCGGTTTTTTGGGGGGACAAGTTTTAAGCCATTTCAATATCCACTCATCTGTTTTTTAGTAGGAGTGGAGGCACCTAGGGGGCACCGGGAATTTGTGGGGGGCACGCGCCCCCCCCCTGGCTACGTCCCTGTTGCTGTCTTTTACTTACGAAATTGCATGCATGGACTAGAAGAGCCGTGCACGATGGTTCTAAAGAAGTCGCTGTCCCCGATGCAAGAGTGTATGAGTACAGCATACGTATTAAAGGACTATGCCACGAAGCTTCGTCTTTTAGAAAACCTGCATAGAGTCTTCCCTTTCCCGTCAGATCTCAGAATTACACGCTGAAAGCAAGTCATGAGTTTTGCCGGTTTGTTTGCTCGTTTTGATTCAAACCGCCTATCATCAAACGCGTCAGTGTCACGGGTACCTGGGTCCTGTTTTAGCGATCGATTAGTTTTCACGTGAGGTGGAGGCAATGACGCACAGCTCTATTTTCCATTGACGCACAGCTCTATTTTCCATTGACCCCCGAGAGAACTCATCGGTTGTACCTTGAACACAAATGCGACTATGTTCAACGGGGGCTTCCTGCTAGTTACTCATTAACAGTTGCCCCGCACCCTTGTCCTCAACATGCGAGATATCCAATCATTTTCCAAGCTACAGCCAGTGCCGTCACCGGTTCGAACCGTAAGATACGTCGACAAAAACTAATCTTTCCGCCATTTTGATTTCTCGTGAGAATCAGGCGAAGCAGCGTTTTCGGATTCATCTGGATCTACAAGTTTCAAGTAAGGAAAATTTTTAATTTTATTGTCTCTACGTTGCCAGCATCAATAAAATATGTGTTAACTGTCACCGAAACAAGGGTCTTTTTATTGTAAAATGCCCCAAATACTGGTTTTGGCAAATCGACGATTTACGGGAACGATTGGGCCGAATTTTGATACGTTTGCTGTAAGACGCCCACTGGAAATCACTCAATAACCCATGAATGAACCGCAGAGAAACACCCAGGACAGTTTAGGCTCAAACCGAGAATTAAGCATGTTATGCCTCTCCAACAGTTTCAACACAGGACACGACAAGTCAACAGGACACGATGCACCCGGCAGCTCCGATTCAGACCGTGCAGATACAGGTGGCCTCCCCGCAGTCTCCCCGGCACAGCCGGTACTCTTGCTCGGTCAAGTCGCTGGGGATTTTACAGATCGTTCTGGCTGTGGTGTCAGCCGCTTTGGGCATTGCGTCCGCTGTTATCTGGAGGCACTACTCCTTAGCAAGTATCGTATCTGGTGCTTGGGGAGGGCTCGTGGTAGGTTACGTTTATTGTGGTTTCCTAGATACTCACCATTATGCATCATTATGATCTGAAACGATTTCCTTGCAACAAAATCAGGGCGTTTTCCTTGCAAACGATATCGGAAGTGTCGTGGTATAGATGAAGTTTGACATTCTGAGAATTATGGACCAAATGCCGTCATACGGACTCCATACTGCGCACGACTCAGTCAACAAAGAGCTGATACGGGTCATGGGGGTAGAGAGTCGATACCAGAGGAAACCGAATATCGAGAGTGTCAACATTTAATACATAACGATATTTATGACCCACAGGGTATAAAAGGTGGTAAGTTTTCTTCCAGCATTTTTTTCATAATTCTTGAAGAAGGAAGCTTTCCTTCTGGTCAGAGGACTGACCTGTACGTCGAAACTCAACATCTTTTTTTCAACTTTCGTTTACACTTTTTTAAGTCTAACTACAAAGGCAGGGTTTCTTGGACGCTTTGCTGGTCAACCATTGCATCGAGTAATTACTTTAACTAAAGAACTGTAAAAAGATGGGCAGGGTGGTCGATATTTTGGCCTTAAAATGAACTAACATGAGTACCGTTTTTTTTTTCTTTGTACATGTAAGATTAGGTCTGACTGGTTACTTGATTACATATTTCCAACCCTCGGAGTGTGAGGTTCATGAGGAAGAGTGAAGCAAAAAGGGAATGATCTTGATCTTTGATTGATATATTTTGTGTCTCTTCCATTCCAGTTTTACCTCCCCGCTGGAATCCTGGGCATATTGTCCGTTAGGGTCAGTACGTCGCGAAGACGTGTGGTAAGATATTGGCGTTTTCGAATGAGCTAAGAAATAAATCAAGAAATAAATTTAAAAAACTGATTTTTGAGGATAGTAACAGACCCCCAGAGCACATTCAAAAGGCACTGCTTTACATGTAATGTACAGCGTCCCCCTTCAAACAAATGTCACTGTCCATATAAAAACAGGCCAACTGGTGAGGTCTCACTTTTATATTAAAAAGGCATATCTCTGGATCTTCGTACGATTACCACGTGTATTTTTGAAGAGTCAAATAAATAAAACAACATAAACACACCATTAAAGCAAGAAAGTCTTGTTATGCTTAAAATGGATAAAATTGCTTACATTGATACCCTTGCCTGGATCTATTACTTACATTATAGAAAGTCACCAACTGAAACAATTTCAGTCCATGGGTTTAAAAAGTCTGGCGTCAGGAAAAGTTGCCACCTGGTTGGAGCTGTTTAAAGCGAGAGTTGCGACATGGGTGTCTCAGTTGTAACCAAGGTGGTGGATGATGCGTCGACGGAGATGGACAAGAAACACACAATCATGTTTTACGTAATGCACTCATGCATTAACAGATATTTGGGTTCCACAGTCTGTAAATGGCGCCACTCCCTGTAAACACAGCTCTGCCCTTGGCCAGCTTCGTGACCATTATATTATGAGGAGTTGACCTGTTACAAACTTCAGCATCGGTTGTTTCAGCCGAGGTCTTTGATATGAACTCATCATATGGGCATATTTGTAGTAGTAATGCTCTGTTTTGTTTATGTTGCCTTTTTCTGCAGGCGATTGCAACCATGGTCATGTCCATTTTAGCCGCAGTCATGGCTGGTACCAACATCATCATATACAGCATCTGCATGACTCAAACTGTCTATTACTACAACCCCTACTACTACATCTCTGTAAGATAAGAAACCACAAGGTCTGCTATCGAGCCCTAAAATGCATCTCGTTACATCCAAGCCAGAAATAACAAATAGGGATAAATAGTTGTCACCAACAAACGCAAACTACTCACAAAGAGTAACAACTTTACACAGATGGACGGTTTTCATTTTATCTGATTGAACCTCAACCCCCGCAAAGGGGGGTTTCTTTTAAACAATAATTCCCTTTTTCCTTCCTCCATAATCCTCATCGATCATTTACACAAAGGCCATATTGGCCTGATGGACTATCCCCAACCCCATCCCCCTTAAAATTGCCCAAACGATAATTCAGTTCTTGATCCGCCGTCTAAGAGGTCAGTAATGAGGAGAATGGGGGTATATATCCCCAACCTTTTGAGGTGGGGAATGGGCTATCAAATCATCCTCCAACTTTTTTGTGGTGGGTGTGGAGGGTGGTTTAGAAGTTTTCGGACTTTCCAACAGGCAAAAGATATCCAAAGCACTCAAAAGGAGAACAAAAAGCCATAAATATGCCGTTCTTATGTACGGTAATTAAATGCAACACATTATTACAGATCGCCACGAACATAGTGCCATACTGTGTTAACACCATCGCCCCCAACACCACTTTTCAAATTTCCATTGCCAGGCAAGTCATACCCTTTTCCACAATTAACCATCCTCCATCCTCTTATTAATAATTTTCAGGCAGAGCTCGGGTTGAATTCAGTGCTGCTGGTCGTTTCCCTAGCGGAACTGGTTGTGTCGATCGTTGCTTCCGCCTATTGCTGCTACGTCATGAAGGAATACCAGCCGGCCACCACCACGGTAACAAACACCATATTATACTCAATGGCTCGAACAGAAATGAAATCATCATCTTGTTCCATTCAACTGTCTTCTGTTTCTACCTCCATATTCTTTCCATTTCTTTTTCTTTTTTGTCTAGGGTTAGCTGTTTACATGTTAACATATTCACACCAAAGCAAACTCACTCCCTCAAAAGTGACAGCTCCAGTCTTACATGTGGCCATCTGACTGCCCGCTTTTTGAGATAACGAAAAAAAACCCCGCGTCAACAAGTTGTGGAATGAAGGGGTCTCAATGACTGCGATGCATTACAGCTTGCCCAATTCACTGAGTAAGATCTGGGTGTCGCCTTGATAATTCAAAGCTAAGTTGTAAGGCAGTCACAAGGCATCACCCCAGAGGAGAGGGACCAACATCACCCTTCCTGCAACTTGTACCTCCGTATAAGATTAACATAAGCTGGTCCCCACTACCAGTGGACCAAGGCGCTGTGCGTGAAAACACAAATTCATGCCTCTTGTCCAAACTAAACTGCGGTCTTGTGGTGGAAATAACGCATTCCATGACGAGGTTGCAGAGCTCTCACAATGCCGAGAGCTGATTTAAATAATTTTAATCATGGCTTTTGCCCTTACCCAACGTTTTTATAAACACCGTTTACCGAGGGTATACGTTTGTAAGAAATGTATTATAGTCACTTCCAACATCATCTAATAATTTCTTATATCACATTCATAATAGCAATAGTATGTATTTAAAAGAAAAAAATGGAAAAAAATCTCTTTATCCTGTCTCTCCTCTGGTGCAAACCAGATCCAGTACGGACACCCAACCACGAATAATATATACAACCACCAACCGGCTGCTTACCCAGGGCCAGCCGTCGCCCAGGCTCCTGCGATGTTTGTAACCAACCAGGCCGCTGCTTCTTCCCCGCCCCCTAGCTACGGGAACGCCGTCGGAGCCGACATAGATGGTATGTTCAGTCAGTGATCATAAGGGGGGGAGGCGGAATAAGTGATATCCATGCTGTTTCATTGGCCTCCACATGCGCTAACCCTGACCAACTGGACAATTTTCAATTTCGGAAATCACATCGTGGGTCCTTATTCTGTTTTCACGGCCGTTCTTGAAAAGAGACTAAGCAGTGTGGATCCCTTCGATGAATGTTTTCTTTATCATGTCATTTTCTTTATCATGTCATTGCAGATACCACAAAGGGCAATATCAACTTGGCTTGAGTGTTCTTCACAAACAGCCGTCATTTTCTCAAGAATCAACCGGCAAAAACAAAGACATCACCTGTACAAATACTAAATAAAACTTCTGCGTCAACTAGAAAAACAATCGTTAAAAACAATTTGTCAATTTCAAATTGACCAAATTTCTTGTGCTGTTTGTTTTCTATTCTGTGTACCCAGTTTCTCTGTAAATAGTGTTAGAAACCACAACATGAAAGCATGCAGAAGGTTTGCAACTTGGCCCAATTTCAGGGCGCTGCTAAGCAAACGATTTAACGGCATTATAGCGTATGCTTAGTTCATGGAGACTGTCAGTATTAAGCACAGCAAAAGGCACGCTCACCCCGGATGAAAAATTTGCCTATTAACTTAGTGACGTGCAATAGAAATCTCCAAGCGCGTCCATGCAATTTTTGTGTTAAGCACAGCAACCGTGTTTATAATGTTCACCGTGAAATACTCTTACCGTCTGGCACAAAAAATTGTGGTAAGCAGCTCCGCAAAATAAACACCTTGTGAGTTAAATTTGAATAAAGTCTGGTACGATGAGTTATCTGAGTGCACATTAACGTAACGATTTGAATTACCCTGACTGAAGACACCACTGTTGCTACACCTCTTAGCGACCACCATCTCTGGAATGGACTGGTTCCTTTGCGCCCTTCTTATCCACTGAGAACAGTGTATTGTTGCAAGGCGTCTCTTATGTAACTAAGCAAAAGCCTGTCCCGAATCAGTAAGTATAGCAACGGGGTTTGTAGTACGGAGAATCCAAACTGTTGATTCACGTGAATTTAAGGAACTCAGTGTGCCAGATTATATTCAAATTTAACTCGCAAAAGGCTCGTTGGGCCCTGCTAATGAATTGACAAGGACGAAAAGGCATCTTTAGACACTTAGAAACAACCGTAGGGTAACCGGAGGTGTAGATTACGTTATTCAGTATGTGTCACTGCATAAGAACTTGCACGATATTCTTGCTTGTGACCTTTAATGGAAAGATTATTCAGAAAGTGTTTTAAAAATTATTTATTTATTACATTACGTGAAGTTTGCACTTACAAAAAAATGTGTAACTCCTGTTAAAATTTCGCAGCTACCTTGTGTGTATTTCACGAATTTTGTAATTAGAAACCCACCAAAACAACTTTAGATGTTTTGTATTGTAAGTGTATTTCAGTTAAATAATAATTTGAGACAGCTTAATGTTTGTATCAGAAAATAGAGTGATAATTATTTTGCCGGTGTGTGATTTTGCTGTAGGTTATTTTCAAAGTTTGAATGGCATCATAAATAATTACACATTTTACCGTTTTACCGAATTACCGTCTATACTAGCCAAAGACTTTATTTCGCTTTATGACAACTGTGACATAATAAAGGGTCGACAGATTTCGTGCATTGTGATTGGCCAACGCGTCGCAGACTCGTGGAGGTGCACTATTGTGAATTACCCGGATTCCCTGTTTGATAACATTTTTGCATGAAAGCATTGGGACTGATCTTTAACCGTATATACTTCTTGTACAAAGCTATGCCGCGCAGTGTTTGCATGATATCACAATACACTTAGGTCAATGAACATCACAACTTCAACCCGACGGTTATACATTAACAACACTGTTTAACAGACGTTTTCAGTCACTACTCTGCCAGAACACGAATATAGCCCTCTAGGTGGTGAGGCATTGCTGAAAGATAGCTAAAGCTCAACTTGCCTCTTCGCAAGTTGCAGGTCTAGCCAACTTGCTAGTGAAACCATTCGTGTCAAACGCAGAGTGAGCCGTCTATAACATCCGTGGGACATTTTGGGCCCTGTACTTCTTTTTAAAGCCCAGTTTTCCTATTGAGGTCAAGAGGCTCCGAGTTAGAGCATCGTTGATCAATTTCTGACGACACGCAGTGGTACAGAAACACTACCGCGGCTTTTGTTGTGTCGCCGTAACAGGCCTACATGAACACGCACCCTGGCATGGGAGACATACATTACAACAAATATCTATCCCACTTCTGCCACTTGCCTATTTTCTCCTTATTATTAACATTTGACCCAACAATGGTAAAACAATGACCACAAACAAATATACCCAAATGGAGTACCAATTTAGCTTCAAGAGTTGGTATCACGACATGAAGGGGCATTTTATTCGAAATATTTGCCCAGTTTCAGACGCTATTTTGTTTAATTTCTTGGGTAGAATGACGTCACGTCTGTGTCTTGCTACCTCGCATGCCATTGGCCTTCGTTACGACCATATGGATGATAAGCTTAAGCTGCAACTTCGTGTATGTTTACTCGCTACCGCGTATTGCATCCATTCTTGCTCATCTCAAAAGTCAAAATTACGTTCGTGTGCGTAGCTAGTGTTCATGTAAGACCAGGCTACATCTTCCGATTTCAATATGAAACTCCATCATACACTATATCATTCGAGGTGCCGCATAGGTGTTCATATCTACTTTCAGGCTCACTGTTGTCTGACGTGAGGTGAAAAAAATTGGTGATACAATTTCGTGATTGTAAAGAGTGTGGCGGAAATACCTAATTTTGAAATAATTTCTCTACAAAATGCTAAAAGTTTACCAAGCATCGCGGTGTAGACCGGTCACATCTACCTTTGGGGTTAACTCAGTGAGATCACGGCCAACTGTACACCACTGGATATCAAAATAAACGGAGAAATCAACAAAGTCTGGTTTCCATGAGCTTTTCAATTGGTCTATTTCTTGTTTATCAGCGTCGTCGTTTTGCCAACTCAGGGAACAGGAATGACCTTTCTGCAGAATCTGTGTCAGCGCAACCATCTACTATTTGCATTTGCGATGAGCTGTCAATATTTCACCACTTACGTAGGCGCCCACAACAGGAGACCGTCAGTGGACAGTCAGTCATCGTGGAAAATTCAGCGCGGTCTAAAAGCACTTTGAACCCAGAGGCACGTGGCACAAACGTATCTGCCTGTGAGTAAATGTATAATTGTTCAGCATGATTTCAACTTCCAGCGGGTTATACATTAACTCAGGACGCAATGTGTGTCAATTATGAGCAATACATTCCGCGAGGTTTGGCGTCATCCACCAGAGTTGGCCCGAGCTCTGCCTTTTAGGATGAAAACAGGTCGGCCATTTTCATAGTGGAAAACTGACAAAGAGGTATACCGTTACTGAGGCACAGGGTTCTGAGAGTGTCGTTTCAAGTGAGTAAAAACCTTCAATACCCTCTCTTTCTTGTGGCTGAACACCGTAGTCCTCTGAGCGGTTGTTGTTACCATGGTGCAGCATAGGATAATATGCAGTTTTTCACCTTCAAACACAAAAAGGGAAACTGCGTGCTATTTGCATCATTTTTTTATCTGCCGTGTGGCCGCCATTTTGTCTCTCAAAATGGCCTTCCCTTCGGATCTGAGTATCATATGAAGTTCTTTCTGGTGGCCTACCTCATGTTTGTGATACCAAGGAATTTGTTCAAGCTTAACTGATGAAGCATTTTTACCGGACGACGGCCAGTTTGGGGTATTGTCGCCGCCGTGGTGGTCGGGTTGTTGGTACGGTTGATGGTGTGGCCGTGGATGCGGTCGTGGTATAAATGTACTGCGGTTGCTTTCCAATGACCCAAAACGACACCTTGCATCACATTAAAAATTCTATCGTTTTCAATGAGGGTTGTGCCTGTTTGTGTTTCCCCCGTAGTTGCTGAACTGAGGTGCGCGAGGAGGCCAAGATGCAAGCGGCTACTCCCCCGATTCAGACCGTGCAGATGCAGGTGGCTGCCCCATCGCCTCCCCGGCGCAGCCGGTACTCCTGCCCAGTCAAGTCGCTGGGAATTCTGCAGATCGTCCTGTCCGGGGTGTCGGCCGTCTTTGGCATTGCCGCGGCTGTAACTACTCCGTATGTGATTACGGCAGCGTCTACGGGTGTCTGGATAGCATTACTAGTATGTGCTGATTTGTTACTTTGCTCATTTCTTACTTTCTCAGTCTTCTCCTTTTTTGTCACTATAGTAACGTCGGGGGAAAGGTTCAACTCACCCCCCTAAGGCTAGAAGGGAGACGTCTTTGTTTTGGACATTTCGGATGACTGCTGAGTAAGCAGTCTCTAGAACCCCCGCTTCATTGGTATTCACTCTTCTTAAGCTTTTTGGGTTGAAACTGTCATTTACATACAGCAAAGCATGTGAGTGCAAGTGTAATCCAGACGGACGCTACTCTCTCTAGTGCATAAAATTCCAGTTTGGTTTTCGTTTTTACCCTAAGTTGTTTGTTTGTTTGTTTGTTTTTTGTATTTTTTTCAGTCTTACCTTCCAGCTGGTGTCCTTGGCGTCCTGTCTGTGACGATGGCTCCTGCTTCGCGGAAAAGCCTGGTAAGATTTGTTTCCTACATTTGGCTTGGACTGCAAAAGATAACAAATTCCTGTCGAACAGTGGCGTATCCAGGTGTTAGATTGGAAAAGGTACAATGGAATTTTTCCTCGAAACGACTTTCCATTTTTTGTTTTACTCGTTTAAGAATTCTCCCCCCATCGGGAGGTAATACCGATTTTTAAATGCTGGTACTCTGAATTTGTTTAAAGACAAAAATCTCTCTCAAGGGATTATAGATGTTTAAGATATTTTGGGACAGATCTAGTCTGAGCTGGTAGAAGGGCAGATCCAAGAGGAGGTAACGGGGCTATCTCCACGCCCTCCCCCCTAAAAAGTATGGCCCTCAACAATTTGGTTCTAGAATCACTCTTGTCTGGGTGACAATTAGCAGTGTATGTATTATGTCTATTTTTATAGGATGAAAGCCGTATTATAAAAGACATCTATTCTTTCTCTCTGCAGGCGATTGCATGTCTGGTCATGTCCATTATTTCATCTGTCGTTGCTGTTCTTAACATCATCATATACGGCATATCTGCCGGCATCAATGTAAGACGAAAACTAAGATCATTATCTCCATAAATATGCATGTAAAGGCCTCGAGAGGGCTCTCGTTATGATAGATCTAAACTGACAATACGTGTAGTTGAAACGGGATAAGTTTCGCATAAAGTAAAAGAAAGTGAGTAAAAGTGCGTATTTCCCATACGCACAAAATAAATATTTTGCACGGATCGCAAGGTGTTGTCCACCATCTAGCTTTTGAAAAACATGTCTGTGATTCTGCCGACAAACGTGATAGTCGAAAGAATCACAAAAATAAACAAACACATACAGTTAGCGCGGTATTTGAATATAACAGCAGTCAGCAGCTAGTTTTGGGGATTGAGGTTGAATCCACAATGGTGTAATATTGGTCAATTGGGCAAATGCTTGTCCTCTGTGCAAAACAAGTGTTTTTGCTAACTGATGAAAGGTTGAAAAAGAAGCAAATTCACCACTTTTGTTTTAGCTCAGAAACTATAATTTCCGATACGGTTAGACAATTATCGAAACTTCAGAGGAACGTGGGCAGATTTGATTCAGCTCGACAATGGGGGGGGGGAACAATAATGAAGTCAGCATCGATTGTCCTGAAGTTTACAACTAATGGAAGGACGTGTGAAGGTTGATGTAATCAGTACTCCAGTTTCGCTCGACTCAGAGTCCAGAGGGGGCTGGAGTGAACCCTAGTCCCATTACACGTTGGTGAAAAAAAGGAAAGTGTAACCCATCCTCTGTTTCTGGAGTCTGTACGGGGGCGGATCCAGGAATTTTTCTAGGGGGGGTTTAGGCCAATTTTTTTTTTTTCATTTTTGCAGATAAGTGGAATTGATGTTGAAACATTACATGATTATTGTTTTCAATGGTATTGGTGTACAGCTAGGAAGAATCTACGGGATGCTATCTTGTTTTTAAACTTACTTTAGATATTTTATTGTTTTTCCATTTTCTACGGGGGGGGGAGGTTCGACTACCCACCCTCCCCCAGATCCGTGCCTGCTACACCGTTATGTTGCCACTTTGCCAACCTACCGAAAGATTAATCTCCTTTTCGCGTGCCCAAGAATAAGGGTTATTGATTGTACTTTAAAGAAACCTCCAGGCTGACCTGAAAGATATTTGTGTTTACATTCAACACCAAACTTATTGCTAGGCTACTTGATAACTCTCCGCCTGTTGTCTGTGTGTGTCTCCAGTTTTTCTACCAACTTTCGGGACGTTGGGGAAATTGAAATAATCGTTTTGAATCTTACCTCAACAGTATTACTCCGCCCCGGTGGCTATGAGCGCCCTCATTGTTATTATCTCCCTGACAGAGCTTGTTGTCTCAATCGTCGCTGCCGTCTACTGCCCTCACGTCATGAGGGAATACGGAAGCGCCAACACCACGGTATGACTGTATTAAAGCCAGGGCATTATTTTGTGAACTTTGAAGACGAGCTTCTCCTGAGTGGGATCTCACTGGTGACAAACATTGGGCCAATTCGGTATTCCCTCAGCGCACGGTCAGTCGAGAACATAGAAACCCACTGGGGTGCGAACAACTCTACCTGCACGCGCATTTGGGACTTGCGGCTTCAAACTCTGGGTGTTTTGTTCACGAAAGCTGTCAACCTTTGACAGGCTGTAGAGGCGGGTGGCTACATTGAGACCTGAGCCAAAGACTGGCAACTGCTTCATTGGGATATCAGGCAGGGGAGGATTTAAAAACTCGTGAAGTTGAACAGAAACTTGTTCTGGTGATCCTAATCTAAAATCTATCATTAAAAAAATGCACAGCTACGTCCTTAGCATCCAACAGGCGGCGCTCTTTCGGCTGACTTTTTCTGGGGGTGCGTAGCCTTCGCGGCCGTGCTCGAACTTGAATAACCTTACCTCTTTTTGAAACACTTAACTGGCTCATTACCACAAGTGTGATCCTTTTCCTTGCACAATTTCGTTTCCCAGCACTTTTTGCAATATGAGCGTTTCACAATAGAGCGCCTCCAAGAGTTTGCCAGGTGAAATCTGTTGACCCAGTGCGTGTTTGGAAATGGTCGACAAATTTCGCGCGTTATAATTGGTCAACGTGTTGCGAACTCTTGGAGGCGCACTACTGTGAATCGCTCGTATACGATTACGCCACAATTGTTCGAGTTCTTCAACCGTTTAAACCCTGTATCGAATCGTCACTATATTGATGTACAAAACATGTCATCGAAACTGATTTTTTTTTGGGGGGGGGCTTTCAGATCCAGCAAGTTTCGATGCAAGGGAACCCGAACATGGTCGCCTACATTTACAACCAAGGACCAGCCCCCCAACCAAGTACTGGCCCTGTCCCCGAGACGTTTGCGGGAAACCAGCCTGCCCCTGCGTGTCCGCCCCCAACCTACGCTGCTGATGACGTAGGAGGTAAGGAAATGAACCATCGGGCGTTCTCGTTGCATCACAGGACTGCGTGGCAAGTATAGCATGGATTCCATGCATCGCCGTGCCTATGTAATGGAGATCAATGTGCATCACCCTCTACGGGAACTGAACCAGTCTAACACTAATTAATTTCACCAGGTTGAAATTGTATACAAAGGCGACAGCTGCACAGTACGAAAACAAACGCGCCATTTTTAATGTAAAAGATAGAAACCCAGTGACCATTGACCTCCATGTGAAAACTCTGAATAGACCAACTCTTGTTAACAGTGACGTCATATCAATATCATCGCTTTGAATAAGCACTCCTCCCAAGTTGAGATTTTTAAATTGTTCGTTCATTTGAGTTGTCGATAGAGGCTCCCTGCGAGTTCCGCACATTCCAGTGGAGGGATCATAAACCAGTGCGAGACTTAACTTGTTTGCCAACATGGCAAAGCTCGGAACGAGCTATATCCAGATTTTTTTACGCGGAGGGCAGTATAAAAACTAAAGTTTATAAAAGTTTCCTTTTTTGTTTGACTTCATTGCAGGGGTGGGAAAGCAACCAATCGACCTTGCTTGAATCTTTTGACTTGCGAAACAGCCGGGCGTGTTGGACGAGCCGCTGCCTACAACAATAGAAAAATCGTTCATTTCTTGAAAGGTTAACGCAAATACTGCTTTCACATTTTGAAGGGAATTGCAGTCAATAAAAATGAAAGTGTCACGTTTGTATATCTAGTGATTATCGTGTGGCTTGCAGTGAGAACGTCTTCGTATCAAAATTGTTATAGCACAAAAACAAAGTGGAAAAATGTGCAAGCGTAACCAATTAGAAAGCTCTTTATAACTCTGTATAATTTCGAAGCTTATAGAGCCATATTTTTGCAGTAGTTCTTGTTAGGAAGTGTAGATGATGGTTAAATTCCTTGGGAAGATATTTGTATTTCAGTTGCAAATTCACGTATATAGAATGCACCACTGAAGAGAGTCTTTGAATTTCAAAACATTGGGAGAGCTAAGTAAACTGAAATGGGGAAAAAACGCGAAGTAAGCAAAGGTTTGGTTTGTTTGAAGTGCAATGACCGAGGACATTTGTCGCTCTTCGTTCACATTCCATCACTACCAGCTGCATGTAGGCCTAGTTTGATCGTTTACATTTTTTGCTTCTAAAATCTGCGTCTGGAGGTGCATTAGGCCAAGAGAATTTGAATTCAAAACATTGTTTCAGTGACATTGATGTTCTGCCAAAGTGAATTCATAGGTTTGGTGAGGTTTGGTTTGGTTTGTTTATTTACTTCCATATCTTTAATACAGTATTCACATGAATTTCATATGAAAATAACAGAAATGATATGAGGATTCCAAATAAAACGCAAATTATGCTTGTACAAAATCTGGAGCCTGTTTCTATTTAAATGATAGGCTATGAATTATATATTAAACTTTTTCAAGGAATCTATTGAAGTTAAAGAGGAAAGTAGAAACACGTTAATTTATCTATGTGTATATCAATAATCCTCTTTAAAATTAATTAAATAGATAACTACGATAATAAGTACACAAGATGAAGTTAACCACTCATTTGGAGAAATTTCTATTACCTTAATTAAAGGGTGTTTAGTGTAGGTAGCTTTTAGCATCCTTCCTGTTCTTGTGACTCGATTAAACTGTAATCATTCGTCACATGATTAAAAAACTTCAGAAACCTATATAGGCATTTGGAGGGCGCTGTATTTTTCAATGTTTTTATTTCTATTTGTTTAATTCAGTTGTCTGCTTGTGGAATATCATTGCACCTTGACGGTCAAAGCTAAGTGAAATTGAAATTAATGAAGCTTCTAAAGCAAACTGCCGTGTCCGAAGCGTGTTATGCAATGCAAATCTGCAGGCTACAAATTTGGGCATCAAATAACCTTTCAAGATTGACCTTTTCCAACAGTGGAAAGACTGAAGTGGGAAGAAAAAGTACTCTCTCGGTTTGAACAAGTACATCCTCAATGCTTAAAACACGCATGCCAGTTCGACCAAACTCCTTTTTCCTCACGTGTCCACGAGCTGACGCTGTTACACAATGCATGTCTATTGTAATGTATTACAAGCACGCTTCAAAGGTAGCAGTTTGCTTTATCGGCCTCGTTCATTAACGGCGGGTGGTTGGATCTGATCTGGTGACAGTCTGCAGAATAAAACCGCTCAATATGATGATGTAACAGTTTGCAACAGCCTTCCAACCCATTCTATTCTCATGAATATTATGCCAGACATTGCGAAAAAAAGAGTGGGCTAGCCCCTCGGCATCAGCTGTGATGTAAGGCATTTAACGTAACTGTAATAAGCAAACTCTTAAATGCTTTTTAACGCAAGAACTACTAACGCAATATCCGAATCCCATATAAAAATGTACTTATCTGTTTTGATTTAATAAATAGAATTATGTGTACTGGTATGACATTTTCGAATTAAAATTAAGTCTATTTAATACAAGGGGCAAAAAGAAATAAGACAAGATCTTGTTAAGTGATGATTAACCAAACCAAAAATGGAAAAAAATACGGTATAAGCAGAAGTAAGTGTGCGTGTGTTTATTTTATACAGTAACTTTAATTAAATACCCAAAGCCGCGACATTTTTGCGCGTGTCGTGTTATTTATCACAGCGATCACACACTACTCTGATAAAACGTACGGTACCTCCGTTCAGGATTTCCGTTCCATGTGCCGTTTTTAACAGTGTTAGACGTGTCTGTTTAGAAAAAAAATTGCCGTGACATCCAGAGGTTTCATGAAAAATAATGAAGAAGCTTCGTTTATAACAATCGGAAACGTATCAAGAATGGGGTCTACGGTCGTTGCCCCCCCCCTCTGCGGCGTGTTGAGAAAACTCGGTGATTTTCTGAAGTATTTCACGCCAAGTCCATGTCGTTCTCCTTCTCTGAAAAAAAAATGAGACCAATACCGCACTAATTCCAGGTATATTATCTGCTGTGCCATGCCGGTTAAAATCTTTGACATGGTTGCTTTTTCAGAAACAAAACATAACTAACATTTAACGAAAATGAAAATGCAGGAAGTTAAATCTCACTAATAGGGAAACTGACAAATTTAAAAGATGCTACAGTCCTTCCTACACGGTGTGACTGGTGACAGGGTGACATAACATGACTCTGTAATAAGTCGATATTTATGATATTAATGTACATTTGTAATACACATTCAGAGTCGTATATGTATGGCTGTTATATTTGTTCTCCCCTTGGTGGTGATAATGAATGCACTTTAGTCGTTGGAAGTCTGAAAAGTTCTTCACATCCACTTCAGTTTATTCCTCACCACAAAAAGTGGGGGGATAATTCAATAACCCATCCCCAACGTCAAAAAATGTGGGGAATATTTACCCTCAACAGCCCCCGGGGTTTACGCCCGTGCCCGACCGATAAAGTATAGTCGACAGCTCGGCGCAAGCAAAGTCTCCCATCTAGGTTGTAGGTTCAAGTCTCGGCGATGAACTGGTTTAATCGGTTATAACCGGTTTAGACTGGTTTAATACTGGCCTAGGCTTACAGTTATACAAGACTATACCCCTCCACTAGGAGAAGGCATCACCATAATTATAGGTCTCATGGCTGTACACGATCTTTTAATGCAATACCATTTCCATTGGTACCGTCTGCATCGACTGCACTGACTCCGCAGCGAAGGGGCTGGTTGGTAGATTGGCCAACCATCTGTGTGCTGGAGGCAACGGTCGGAAAGGGAACTGCCAGATGACCGTGCATATCCTGGGTGGGGTCACCTTGCCCTGGACACTGGATCTAAAAACAGTGATGGGAAAAAGAGATAAGACCTGTGTAACTCGGCGAGGTCACGTTTTGAACACACAAAAGGGGAAATCAGACAAAGGGCTCGGGAAATTGTGAGTAGTCGTGAAAAATTAAGATGCATACAGGTACCTAGAAAAAATCGAGAATCAGAACGAGGGCAAAGACGCAAACACGAGGCCAGTATAAAGCGAAATCCCTCATCTTACCGTGGAAATCTTGGAGTGGTATTCACTGATGACAAAGCGGCAGTAGACGGCTAAGATGATGGAGATGGTTAGTTCAGCAAGGTTCACGAGCAACGAGACGGCATCCAAGACTACCGGCACAGTCGGCTGTTGGTATTTAGATCCAAACAAGGCAAGGAAAAAGGGGATGGGGATTGTATTAATTATTTTGGGACCCAGGCTGGTGATTCGTTTCATTTTTGCTGGGAGTCCTTGTTTAGCGCCGGATTATCCAATGAGCCCCCAGGTGGACCAAGAGAGGGCGATGTTTTTCCAGCAACGGTGGGGCCTTCCGTGGGCACTGCACTTCGCTGTAAGTTCACGAACGACAATGAAATGCTTGCGCTACGGTCGCATCGCTACCAACAAAATGAACAACCAACTTGGCTCTTTTCAACCGATGAGGCAGTACTTTTGCTAAAGGCTGACAGGCACACACTACGCACTGTGCCTTTTAAAACCAATGAAAAAGGACATACCAAAAGTTTAAGGGCGTTCGAAAATACGATATGTCATACAGCAATATTCAATATCTCTCAGGAATTCAAAGTAGGTGGCTGGAAAGTGAGTCTTATCTGAGATTCAGTGTCAACTCCTCTCCAAAAATCAACTTACCAATATCGCTGATTCATTGTATCCGCCTTAAGCAAAAGCAACACCTCATCGGTTGTACAGAGACAGGTTGGTTGGGGACGTTCATTTTGCTGGTAGCGACTGCAAAGCGTGCTTTTTATTGTTAGTGACTCCGCGAAGTGCAGTTCCGACCAAAGGAGCCCCCGTTGCTAGGAAAATTGCGCCCTCTCTTGGCCCAGCTTGGGACTTCTAGTTAAATCTACTCCTTAATTGTCGTCGTTTTAGTTTAACGAGCCTAAAAGAGAGCTGATGGGGGATACGGGACAAATTCGTCTCCTCTGTGTACGTCAATGTGCGCTGGGGGAGGGCCATGATCCCAGTGACAATACGGTTTCAGGAAGTCTAGTTGTCAACTCACCCTTCGGAAATAATAGAACATTCCAAAAACTTTGTAGTCGTAAGCGATTGAGGCAGCGTAGATGCCAATGTTGGCTGCGGCAACTACAGAGGAAAGTGTTGTCATGACCAGACATGCGACGGCCTGCAAAGAAGGGGAGCAAGAAGCACGGAACTGCATGATTGATGTTAACAGCAAAGGCATAGGAATAAGATTATAACCAATCAATTCTAGTAACTGATAACTACCCTTGGATGTAGATTACTTTTTTTTCATTTATTAGATCGCTTGGAAAACAGCTGGCGAGCAAAACTGACGAATGGAAGATAAGAGATGATGGATTCAGCCATCGCAGGGAATAATGATAACCACTTCGTGCATATTTTGCTAGAAGGCCAATTCGCCATTTTAAACACAAGTGGTATGATGGAACTCTGAGTTGTTCGAGTGCGTGGATGTGTTTACTTCAAAACGTTTCAGACAGCGTGAGCTCAGTGCGTGGACGTGAATTCGATTGTCAATTAAAGTTAGTGGGTCACTAACTGCAAACAGGCGTTGGAAAATACAGTCGTCCAGAAAAACCTTACCACGCGTCTTCGTGAAGTTACGGGAACCGTCACAGACATGACACCAAGAATGCCAGCGGGGAGGAAAAACTGAAGAGAAAATTGAAATGGGATACAGGTGTTTCTTGGCATCCATGGGGTCCTTTAATACGATCTCAAAGGAATTTGCGAAAAACAAATTTCGGCCCTCGTGAAGTTGAAAGTAGTAACCCTCTATCCCTGAAGCTTTGGCTTCAAGGCCAGGTAGAAAAGCCGTTGGCGAAAGTGTGATCCGGAAAATGTGAACTTTTGGTTGGAATTTGCTAAAAACTGCCGCGCTGAAAACACTACATCAACATCTGCATGTATAGGTATTTAAGAAGCTCAACGGCTGTTTCTTATCAAAAAGGGTGACACTGAGCGCCATGTTTCCCCTTTTGCGAGCAGCAAATCTTGGCATTCTTGTAGGTAAGACTGTTATTGTGGATAATTGATGGTGGCGCAATTTCATCTAAGACTACAGGGGATAACAAAACCAGTGGGACGCGATCCAGCCCACCACCCTCTTGAAGCCACGTAGGCCTATTACGAAACATGAATATTTATGTCGTCCCTTCATTTCTGTAAAGAAAAAAATAGCCCAATGGTAAAATTATTTTGATATCTTTCCTCTGTCTTGGTTTTTTGTTTGTTTGTTTGTTTGTTTGTTTGTTTGTTTGTTTACATTTTAGTGTAGTCTTATAGTAATAAAACCCAAGACAAACAAAATGCCAAGGAAACGGACGCTTACCATCATAGCGGTCCACATTCCGGAGAACGCTATCCCTAAAATGGATCCAGCAAGGGCCGACGCTATCCCCAGCACGGCCGAGAGCCCCGACGTAACGACCTGGACGATTCCCAGCAGTTTGACCGGTCGGGAGTACCCGCTACGGCGAGATGTCGCCGGGGCAGCCATGTGGTTGACGTGTGTCCCGATCCTCTGCACAATTCTCTTCGGCGACTGTGAGCTTTGTAAATCATCCACAGGAAACCTATCGAAAATGTCACCCGAATGGTTCATCAAAGGGTCCTTTAAATTGTGCTTGCAATATTAAAACCGACTTCAAAAAGAACACCTGAAATTTGTGACCGCAAAAAATATTCATAAACCAGTTCGGTCAACGCGACTAGCTGTATCCACGAAACACAGTGTATGGTCTCAAATGAAATTGAAACAAATGGAAGGTTTTACTTACACTAACAAAGGATAAGGTTGAGTCAGAAAGAAAACCTGTGGCCCGCGATAGTGCTCTCTGTTAACGAGCGACCGAAATGGCCCAACGACCGTTGGCCGGTGTGAGAACGCTTCCGTATGCACCGTCGAAAGGGATTAGACATCGGGGTAAAAGAGACAACATTGTAGCGCCGAGTATGTGTTAATATGTAACACGTTAACCATCGAGGGCCGCGTTGGATATTATGACGTAGTGGGTACTATGCATTACCATAGAAACTGAAAGGTCTTAAAATAATTGTCACTTAAAGGAGCGGGAAAGACGTCAGAATCGAGGCTAAGCCAACTCACGACCAAACTTCATCAAAGCAATCTGAAAATGTCGATTTTTCTAAACAAACTTCTATGAAACTCCTTTATTAGAACTTGTCGTCGGCTCCTAAAATGTTACGTTGAAAAGGAATATGAGTTTTTTTTTAACAACGGTGGGTATAAACGGATCGGTTGAAGCTGCATATCAGTTGCCACTCCGTGTCTCGTGCGTTCCAAGTCACCGACCTGAAATAATTGTATGGGGTACATGAGACGCTTTCGAATTTCGCATCTTTTAACTGACGGGAGCATAGGCATATAGGCTATCCCAGAATCTGTGAAGACTTTCTCTGGAGCTGTCGCGTGCATCACTCGCTACCGAAACCGTACATGCCCCGTGCCCCCGTTCTCCCATTCACAGTGGCCTTTCCAAAGTTGTTACTTTGTCACCTGAAGCAAAGTGGGAAAGATAAGACTACTTCAATTTATGTGATTTTCGCGACTGTCCTTGATAATTTTTTTTTTTGTCGTCCAGACGCCAACCTCAAAAGGGGCAGCTTCTCTTTTCGGATCTTAATGTTTGATATTCGATAAATTTCGAGTCTTGAGCACAGTACTCATGGATATGGCTGGAATTTTGACTGTATTATGTCAAATGCCACCAAAAAATAATTTAAAAATAGTCCTTACATCTGTGTTTTGTACCCTTTTCGTGTGTTCCAATGACAGGCAGGTACATATGGAAGCCAGCGTGGATACCACAAAAGCAACCAGGCTAATACCCGCAGCGATGAAGTCACTGACGATCGAGAAAGTAGGCTGAAGAAAAACAAACAAACAAACAAACAAACAAACAAAAGAAAGGGTCAGGCACTAATCAGCTGACTTCGGACAAGACTCAGCCTGAGAGCTTGAGTTATGCATAAAAATGGGAAGAAATATTTGCTTAGAACCATTGTTTGTCACGACGAACATCTACCGGTAGGCTACACCTGAACGCGCAGTGGACATGTTTACTCGCTCTTGTAAAATCAACAATATTTCTTTTTTTTTTCAAAATTACCAAAGCTGTGCAAAACCAAGGTGAACGGGTACCCGTATTTCTGGATCTTCGGTCTTATCATCATTATTGATGGGCAGATGTTCGTGAAACTCTTTTTCTGTTTTTCCCTAACATTTTTTTTCTGAAAATTTCTTGAAAATGTTGGAGTGAATCTGGAATTTGTGAGCATGGTGTCAAATCTTCCGACCCGAAACTTGGGAAGTGTGGACACCAGCGTGACAATCGATATTGCATGTGCAAGCCCGTGGCTTATGACGTTGCCACTTACATGCGCTCCACGGATACTGTTGCAGGCTGACGCCACAGAGAGGGCTAAATTCCCGACGGCTGCGCCGGACGAAAGTAGTGACATAACCAGGCTCACAACAGCCTACAGTTCGATAACAAGAACAGTTATAGGTAACTGATAGTATCTGTGTTTATATTGAAAACACGTTTTCTCCAATTCTCACTTTAAAAAAAATCCACATAGTTTACAATCTTTCATCAGTTTGACTGGTCGATTTTGATTTTGATCAATAATTCAACTCTTTCTCAGCGTTTCCGTTAGGTTGTGTTCTTCTGCAGTGACTAACCGAGCATAATGTATAGATTTTCTAAACAAATCTAATAAAAATTCTCGAATTTAAACTTCTCCTGAATAGATCACCATGCATAAAAATAGAAATGCGATGTGGCGTCCCGATTTGCAACAGAAATATCTTATCGGTGCTGGAGCGAATTGGACTGCTGTGCTCTTACCAAGCTCCTCCGCAGCGAGGGCGTCGTTGTGGATTTCTCGGATAAGATACCAAAGATCCCTGCAGGGAGATACAGCTGACGAAGGGGAAAAAGAAGTCCTTTCGACAAGAAAATTATCGGCAGTAACAAAACGTCGGTTCCAAATTGTTTCTACTTTTGACAGTAATTGCCAGTGGCGGTGGCCTTGACATTACTGATGATATAAACAACCTTTTCATTACAGCTCAGGTAAATTCTGTCACTGTATGTATGTTGTGTTTTAACTTTATTTAAAGAAACAAGAGGCTTTAATTTTGTTTACTTCACGACGTTACCCTGCAGAGAGTCCCACCATAGGTAAATGTCCCACCCACAGATCCACTTGCACCCTAAAACAATACATGAAAGGTGGATAAAATGGGGAAAAAATGTTTGCCGTGTCATGTGACTCTGTAAAAGTCGTCTTCGGGTAGATTAAGTTTCCGTACGAAAAAATCAAACTGAACGAGCCCGTTCCGACTGTCAAGAACCAGAAACGGCATAGAAACTCACCCTGCAGAAGGCTAATGAAAGTGTTGGAGACCCCGAGACTGATTTTGGTCTCATCTGCCGCAATTTCAGCGATCCCCTGCGCGATCGAGATTCTACCTCCATGTCGAGATGCAGGCCAAGAGGATCTGAAGGGTGGCGATTTTTGGAGCGGCCCGGTGAAGTCCGTTAAGTTGCCGCGAGGACTTTGAAGAGACCAGTGGCTGGGTCTCGCCGGGGTAAGCCGGCTGGTGAGTAGCCACCTCTTTACGTTCCGGACTCATTCTCGTCATGGGTGTGTAGGCACAAGTGGCGAGTAAACCTCGAGTCGATTTCCTGAACCAGCGCGCAACATATATCTCCAAGATATCAGGTAAACTTGGAATTATCCAATGGACAAGACGAGGGGACGAGAGGGCGCACTTTGAAAAGCCGCACAAATGCTGTTCTGGCCGATTGCTTGTCCGTTAGGCATGATGTTTGAAATGGAAAAAGGAAAAACAAAAGTAATAATGTTTGAAATTTTAATGTATCCCAGGTTTGTTTGCTGCACGGGCAATTTCGTCTTTTCTCTGATGAGGACTTCTCAAAATGAAAGTTACAAAGAGAATGCTAGAAATTTCCTTGCGAGTTGCTTCTTCTTTTGCTTTAGAAGCCAAGCTTCTTACTGTGATGGTCTTTAAATTATTAATAAAACGTAATGATCATAATTATTTCATTGGTGTCGTGTGGAGGGGAGAAGCAGGGGTGCTCTTGCTCCCCTAAAAATAAAAAAAATAGAGATGATGGGGTGTGAAAATCACAACTTTTCTTTAAAAACATCCCCCCCCCGCGGTCAGACGTGCACTCGTAGGGTGTCCGTTAATTTTCACAAATGCACTTTAATAATAAATAATGTGGGTACCAGACTTCTATCGACCCGCGCGAGATATGATCCGACAGCGCTTTGGCAGTGGCTCAAATTAGTTGGCTACGGATCGAATTAGCAAGCACACGTAGTAAAGCCGTTAGCTAGCGGCTTCATGCATTTTCCAATGAGGTATGTTTTACGGTCAGCCGTAGCCAAGTAAATCGGACTCGGTCTGTAGCTGTCGTGGGATTGCACGTTATATGCACAGGGTATCCAAGAGGTGTCTGTCAACAACACAACAGCGGGGGATCATGTATGTTTAATTTATTGATTGACTCTCGGCGCGGCTGACCAGTTCCCTAAAACCACCATTGTTAATCCCTGGCATTCGTAGGGCTTCTTGCGGGTAATTTCCCGTACAGAAATGCCGATATGCGACTTGACTCGGTGTTTATAGCAAGCTTTCAGCAGGGCCTACACATAGGGTTTCCAGCTTGTTGAAACTACATGTACATGTAGTGTAGAACATGGAGTTTTGCTGAACATCATATCGGAATGGTCCAAGCATGGCCCGAGACATTTCTACCTCCACGGTCCGAGGGTTCATCTTCGTTATTTTGACGCACCTAGCCCATTCAGCATTGTGCTGCCATTAACAAGCACAAGGACCAGGTGAGAGTTACACGTTTGCGTTTGGCATGTTTGGTTTGACTCTGAAGACTGATTCTGTCCAGACAGACCCAAAAAGGGGGAAGTCTTACCAATATACAGACAACATTAATTTTCCCTGAAAATATTATAACACTGTCTGATTAACAGCCATCAGAAAGCCATCAAAAACATGTCCTAAAAAGTGAAATTTAGCTGAGAAAATTCGGAAGCATTACTTAGAAAACACTTTGGATTTTTCAGACAAGCCCCATACAAATGTATACATGTAGGTTTGTGCACAGGGCCTAGGCCTCAAGTGTTGTCTGTAGTGTAGCTCTTTCCAAGATGAACAATTTAAATTAAGTCATTATTTCCTAGTTGCATGGTCAGTTTACTCGAAAAAAGCTTTCCAATGGCCATTTGTTTTGAATCTCGTATGATAGGATAAAGTCTTTTTTGTGAGAAAATGTTCGTAACATCAGTTGACGATCACATTCTTTTTACATTAAGTGTCCAAAAAAGCTGAAGTCCAGTGTAATGTCGATATAACTTATGATTATCTTTCTGTAGTTCTTGGTAAGAAATTAATTGGAAGTAATTGATTGGAAGTTAAGTAAGTGTAAAATCAAATTACAGAGATTGTGCACGATGGTCATCTCTCCGGTAAGATCTTTGGTTTCCACAGGGATACACTTTCTTTAGCCTTCTCCATGTGTGTCACCAGGATTTTTTTTGGGGGGGAGGGGCCAAAGCACTTTTCTGGGAGGTGGGATGTCCTAGGATAGATGGGAAGACACTCATCAGTAACGAGTTGACAACCAGTCAGTTTCAGGGTTTGCTTGGAGCAAATTGGTGATTTTCAACCACTGTCTTCCTATTTTCATCTCTTATGCATTTTTGTCTATTTGTCTTGGAGGGGGGGGCCTTGCCATGCCAGTGCTCCTCCTTCCACTGTTGCCACGCTGCACTGGTACATGGATTCATATCTGTGGTTCAGTCAAATCAATGGGACATGTTGCAGAAGCTGTTTTCAACAGGTGCGCCGTACAAAGTAACTTTGTGACTCTCCACAAACTCCAAGCCATGCAATGACTGTAGAGTTCTGGAAACTGAGTACAACACCTGTGGGTAATTCCAGAAATTAGGGGTCCAGAAGTGTGACATTTCGGTGTCCCTGTTACATCTGACCTTTGTCATTTGACATGGAAATATCACCGGAATTGATTTCAAACTATTACTGTTTGTTTGGCAGGTAATTTCCATTAATTCATCACTCTTGGAAATTAGAAAATGTGTTCTGAACTTACAAAAAAAAATGGACCCCTAATTTCTGGAATTACTCCTGTGTGTTCTTTGTAACCTTTTTAAACACTGCTTGATTCTAATTATGAATATTTCAGTTTTGCTTTTGTTTCCCAAATGTACATAAATGTATAAATCTGCCTTATTATTCCTAGCTGTGTGGAATTTTCTGAAGGCAGTCGTAAGCCACAATTTTCACTGCTCTTTAAAAATAGCAACAGCATCAATGAAGTTCATCAGTGCGTAAAAATACCACCGAAAATGTTGTGTGTGTGGAGGGATGCATTGTGCACGAAGGGTAGGGTTGGTTGTGGTAATTATGAAGACTTATCAATTGTCCACAGACCAGGGCTATACGTGTACCATTTTATGTGAGCTAGACGCCAGGATTGATTGAATATCCTTTCATTGTCGTGTGTTTGCAGTTTGGGCCGGTGCGCCGTGCTGCTGGGTTTGTTGTAGGAGTCGATCACCATGACAGCCAAAGTTCATTGCTATGGACTGAATCGTTGTGCACACAGCAATCGTGTGTACAGAGCTCCATCATTAGCACACTCTGGCCAGGTGTATACTGTACATGTACATGTGTGGTATGTGCCTGTATGCACCTTTCCGATCACTGTCTGTTATTAAAATTGATATGTTCAATTCATGACCTTTGTTCACCTCTGCGCAAGACACTCATCACTGGGCAAACTTACCTGTTTGAAACCACTCTGGGAAATTGAGTCACTGAAAAAACACTTATTTCAGAAAGACGAAACAGAAACAAAATGCAGCAACTCAAATCAGCTGAAGCAGAGTTCAAAGGCTGCTGAAAATTACAAAAGCCCGAAGATGAAAGGAACATCATAGTAGGGCTGAGTCAATTTGAATAATTCACTATTTCGAATATTCGACTTTCAATTTAATTGAATATCTGAATTTTCGGTCGTACCGACCGGCTGATTTTCATGAACAAACCATAAACAAAATCAGCTGCAATAACACACACAATTGTACATTATGATCAATATAATAGCTCCTCATCGGAGTACATGTATCTCTAGCCATGATTTAGCAAGACTTCTTGCCCTGTTGAAAATTTCAATTCCTTTTAAATATTTCAATGAATAATTGACTTTTTAAATCATTGTAAGATTTCTGACACTTTTCATTTGAATCTGCTTGAAAAGTAAACCTCCATATTGCAATTTTTCTCATTTAAAACAACAGAAAATTTGCCGTTCCTTTTCATAAATTTTGCATTTGAATACTCAAATTTGAAAAAAAATGGATCGAATATTGGGTTACATGTATTCGGATACTGTATTAGGCACAGCCCTACATGTACATCACAGATGAACATTACCCCCATTCCAATCATAACAGTGTAGTAGAAAATGAAGGATGGATTACATCTACTTCTCCCTGCCAATAGATTTCCTATCTCGTACCCCCCCTCAGCCAGTCCCTCGAGCCTCGTTATCCCATTGCACATGTGCATGAAATGTTCCTCTCTAGTTCTTGATCGGCTAACTGTGACATGATGTCACCCGATGTGAATAATTCACATTGTTGTGGGCATTGCACTGTTGTCAAGAGTGAATAAAAAAGAGTGACAAATTTATCATATAGTGACATTTAGGGAATGAACCACACTGATCAGGGTAATCAGGGTTCACCTGAGCAGTCATTTTCTTTCAAAAGTCAGTGCAACTTTGGAATTCAATAAGGAGAATTACCGGTAAAATGGAAAAAAGTGATGCCACAGCACACCCAACTCTTAAACTTTTATCTACATGTACATGTAGCCCAGGTACACAGCACACCCAACTCTTAAACTTTTATCTACATGTACATGTAGCCCAGGTACATAATACATGTTGTATTGTGTAGCCTACTTGCTTTAAAGTGCACACTACATACTGTGTTGGTTGGTCTTTCTTTTTTTAAGCTCCTTTTTTTATACAGAACTGAGGATCTATTGGAGTGGATCTGTGTGCGTAACACATAACAATTATAAATGTTCTTTTTTCCACAGAAGTTTGAATTTGTGTTCATTTTTTGGACTGAAATCAGCTTCTAAGATGAAATTACTCAATTTTTTTTACAGCGTTGCTGTTTTGCTGGTCTTCGTGAATTCCCCTAAAAATATCATTTGGAATTAGCAGAGCACGTGCGGTGCATTTACGCATGTACATGTATGTACTGTAGGTGGCTCCAGAGGACCAGGTTGGCACTATTGGTCATTATCCGGACTTCATTAAAAATCCTTTTTGCGATACATTTTTTGGTTCTCTTTCACAGAGCCGTTGGGGACGAGTCGCAGTGAGGTATGTGGAGGCCATCTGAAGTTGCTTTCAACCTGATGGCGCCAAGTCAACAATCGTTGTCTCCATGGTGATGGTATCCCCAGTCCCGGATATTGTGCATTACCGGCTGTTGCTCTCTGAGCTGGAACGGCATACACATACTGATGTATGAAAAGGGAGATGTATTTTTCCACACGAGTGCTGGAGGATGGTCATTTGTCGATGCAGAGTGAAACGGGGGGGAAAAAACTTGTGCAGTCGCTGAAGAGGCAGTTGCCTTGGATACGCAAAGCTACATCCGACGTGATTGCATTGAACTGAAAGAATGAACCAGAATGCGATGGGATTCTGCTTACTCTTCCTTGCTGGCAGTTGGTCGCTGTAACAAACAATCAATGAAATATGGGACGGACACTGCTCGGACTGGTTGGACAGAGCGGGAATAGTTTATGACTCGCAACCTGCGACACGGTGGTTTGTTTTGATTTTTGTGCGGCCTGTCCTAGCAGTGATATTTATTTGGCTGCTGAGCGTGGCGGCATGCCAAAGAAGATGGATCCTCCGCCGAAACGACACCACCCTAGCCTGGCCGACCGGGTGACCGGTCGGGCCAAAGTTGTCACCTTCTTCAAGAGCGGTGACAGGAACTTCAAGGGTGTCCAGATCCCGATCCGCAAGAAGTACAACTTTAGCACGCTGCTGTCTGACCTGGACCGGGTCAGTAACTTTCCGTTCGGCGTGCGGCGCATTGTGACACCCTCGGCGACCCACGACGTGACGGAACTAGAAGATTTCGAGGACGGCAAGATGTACATCATGGCCCCGACCAAGAAAAAACCCAAGCCACTGGACTTGGCTGGCATTCAGGCCAGGCCTCCTTGGGCGCCTTCAAAGGCCCTGCCGGGCAGCGGCGCAAGCGGCGCCGAGGCCGAACTCATCTCGCCGCGCAAGATACCCGGTAACCACGCCAACGGCAACCTCCGGAGCTCTGAGTCCATGCACCGGACGGTCAAGAAGTTGATGGTGATGCGCAACGGGGACCCCCACAGCAAGCACATGATGCTGCTCAATCGGAACAAGATCCCCTCTTTTGAGGCCTTCTTGACAGATGTCGGTGAAAGCTTTCAGTTACCAGCACAGAAACTCTTTACCTCAGACGGCGTCAGGGTAGGTACCGTACAAGATCAAGTTCTTTTAAACTACCCCAAACCTGCCATATCCCCACAGCAGGTTTTGTGAGGTTTTGGCAGGTTTGGTAAAGTACCTGATGAACTTGTTATTGAATTTGTGAGACTTGGGATGAAAGGCCCAGGGAGATGGTGTTGGATTCTGTGTGAGTTGGGACAAACAGGGTTCATTTTGTGCAGCGTCTGGCTTGCTGTACCAGTTGTTGGACTATGCTTGATTTTGTCAGGTTTGGTACTGTTCAGTGCAAATCATCCTATACTGCATAGACCCATCCATACCATATCACTCAAACTCCAACGGGCTCATTCTGTTGGAGTTTATCAGGTTTGGTACAGTAACCTACATGTACATGTGCAAGTACATAGACAAGTACATGCACCTGTTGGATTTTGTGAGGTTCATTGTGCTTTCTAGTGCAGGAGCCTAGGGGGTTAGGGTTAATATCTCAGCCAATGAGAACCTTCAGGCATCAAACAAAATACGGCACTCACCATTATCCCTCACCACTCTGAATCCAACAAGCGTATACATACAGTACTTGCATGATTTCAATGGTCCCTAGGGGTTAGGGTTAGACTTGGCCTTGATACATAACTTGTGCATGCACCTGTACATACAGTCGCTTGTAAGGTCGTTATAGCTCGTTACAAATGTGGCCTGCAGGTGCATACATACATGTACATACGGCAGAGACAGTACAGTCAGCGGTCAACACACTTCACTGTAATACTGACTGAGGTCCTATCTCCTGTACACCACTAATCTCTTCTCTGGATTTCCTCAAACTGTTTTTGGAGGACCTGTTTGTATTGACTGTAAGAACGTACATGTATGTACACAGCTTTGATTGAAAAAAAAAAAAATTGAAAAACTAGAGCATATTTTAGTTACATGCAGGGTATTTATGTACATTGTGTTCAGTAATATGGTTAAAATTAAAGTCCTCGCAGATTTTGGGTGGACAGAAAAAAAGCAAAAATATTTTACCCCCCCCCCAAATATGACCTTGTTACATGTATACACCTTCTCACCTGTGTATGGTAACTAAAGAAATCTAAAGAGACCACTCATGCACCAACAAAACACCCCCCCCAAAAAAAGATACAAATAATAGCTGACTAGTTGTAATTTTTACATTTGCCAGTTTGTGTTCATTTGGTGCTGGCTGCAAATCTTCGCAGTGTGCATCAGTGGCAATGCATGGATAGTGCTGTGACATCTCTGGCAATGTTCCTGAATTTGCCAAAAGTCAGGCGCGATAAATTATTTCTACGTTGTAAAGTGACGGTGGCTAGGCTCTTAAATGCATAGATTCCATCACCGTCCTGCAATTTGTGATCTGGTCGGGCGATTTTCACGGAGTTGGGATTGTCGGGGTTGAGACCGTATGAAGTGATCAATTTCAACTGGCCCTGATGTTGACAGGTCCCTCGCTTCCCTCCCCTCCCGTCCCCTCCCCTCCCCCCGAGCAAATTAGTTCACGAAGATCCCACTCCGTCTTTGGCTGAAATTAATGCTGTTGAAAACCATAGCCACTGGACCGGTAGGGCTGCTCCAGCGTGTTTGCCAAGTCGTTTTGCACATGTTCAAGCACTGGTGCATGTAAGATCACTCCGTCAAGCAGAAATAATGGACGGGAAAGTACACGTACGTCAGGCTTGTGCTTTAATGAGGCTGAGTGCAAGGATAGTAACCGTAGTAACCACTAATCTCTTAGTCATCTGGCATCACAGATTTTTCATAGGCCAGTGAATGCAAGGCTTAGTGCACATTCCTTTGCATAAACCAACATCTGTATGGTCAAATCCTTTTGTTTTGTATTAAACCCTGCATCTTGTATTTACCAATTTTAGTCCACTTTTTTTTAACCATTTAGAACATGCATATTCATGTTACATGTAAACATACAGATGTACATTTCCAATGTATTTTTTTCTGATTTTCAAAATTGAGCAAATTGTAAGTGGTGAACACATCACTCAGAGCTTTTTCTGACCTGCAATTGGTTGTGTTAATGTACACTGTACAAATTTTGTATACATGTAGTAGGCCTATGGCAGAGACCAAACAAAGCCTTACACACCAACGGCCTGTCTTTTGATTCCTCATATTTCATCACTTACCTGTGCTTTGCCTTAGAGACCTACAGATCTTTGAACACATTACAAAACCTATGGAAATGTCTGATCACATGCACATCAGTGAATAGTATCGTACATTTACTCATTCAAGTTCCTCTTGTGGCTAGTGTGTGCCTGGATGTGTTGCCTCACAGTACATATATGTACATGGACATTGTACCTTCCAGTCAATCAATTGTCTTCTCTGACAAGAGCCAAGGGTTAGTGCACAATGTGGGTAATAATTGTATTGTCATCAGTTAATGATGATATTGTCTGCATTGCCATGGCAACATCTCGGCTCACCAGTAATTGCGGGGGCTTTTGTATGCATCCATAATCTTTGAGATGCTCGAGAATTATCACCAGTGGGCACATTCCATGAGTTGATGTGTTAAAACATGGCGGTAAAATAACTCTTCAGTGGAGCTCGCTTTTGCTGTAGACTTTGGTAAATTGTTATACAGTGTGAGAATTAATTTCATTGGGTTCTCGCTCCAACTAAGAGAGACAGTTCCAATGGAAAAACAACGAGAGATTTCAAGGACTCTCTGGCTGCTCGTCTTGCCAAGTTATTCCGTGTTGGTCAGTTTAGTAGAGGAGACGGAATGAAGAAAAGAAACTATCGAGACGGAAAGGTCGGCTGCTTGGGCCACACCGGGATGAAGAACAGAAACATTGAAGATCGGAAAGGCATCAGCAAAGGTGCAAGAGGAGCGAAGAATGCCAGAACCACTCTGGAGAGAGCCCCGGGAAACGGGTACGCGATTCTGGCGGACAGCACGCCAGCAGAACCCTCGCGTATCACCTGCGGCACGCCCGGCCAAAGATCCCGAATGGCTACCAAGCTGGTGGTCATGAGGAACGGTGATCCCTTTACAAAACGGGTCCTGCTCCTCAACCGGAGCAAGATCCCTTCCTTTGAGTCTCTGCTAGGTAACATCGGGGAATGCTTACGGCTCCCAGCAAGAAAGCTCTTCACAGTCTACGGTAGTAAGGTCAGTTAGCTGCACCACCCAGTTTTACAACGTAGAGTAAAACCGTGACGTCATCACTTATAATTGCCATGGTAGTTCACATCATGATCAATTTCTTTGAAAGGGTTCATCAGACATATTCACAACCACAAATGCACTTACATAAAGGGTTAATTGATACAGAAAGTGCTACTCTTATAGACTAGACTGTTAACTAATTAATTCATATTTATTTTCAGTGTATTACACATATCGTATAATATTGATAGAATGTTACATTTTTTTCTGCTTTTTTCCACAGTATTGGGTCTGTCATAAATGTATTTATTTTGTATTAATACTGAGTTACTGATAACTTTGCATGTTTTGATGATACAACCAAATGGCAGTGGACTAACAAACAATCAGTAGACCATCCTGTCATTGGGTAATGCAGGGTACAAGTTGGACATCATGGATCCTGGCTAGAAAGAAGACAGATTTTCTCATGGTGGATGGTGGTGTGTTTGGGTGCTTTGGTAAACTTCTTATTTCCAGCAAACATAAACAAAAATGCATAGACATCTCATTGTTAATATTTACATGTATCAGTGATTTGTGTACAAATTATTTTAAACTTGCAAGATGCAGTCTTTGTAGAGTTGGATGTAGAATCTTGGCGTTGCTTGTACATGTGAACATGCTGTATGCCTGGTTAGGCCAGCGGCCGTTGTAAATAATCAGTTGCATGGTGATAGTCTTATAAATAATGAAACTGAACATGTTTTAAAAGAGGCACTGGCTGTGGGTGTCAGCAGTGCAGTACCAGGAGCACGTACACACTGGTATGTGGGTCAGATATGACGCGTTTTTGATCAAGTTGTTTCATAGAATTGCACTGTACGTACTGTACATGTATGTTGAGAATATTGCGATGTTGTTTACGGTCTCTAATTTACACTTCAGTGTACGGTAACGTGTACGTGTAGGCCTACTGTAATGTAGCCAGATGATCAGATCATTTTGCATGTTAATGCACAGGCGCGGGTACCAGGCATGCACACCAGGGATGGATGTCATTCCTCCTAGTGTTATTGTTTATGCACATCCGGGTACTTTGTCCAAACTTTGCTTGCTCAAATGGCGCCAAGGCGAATTGCAACGTTTTATGGGTATTCGCGGTGATGTTCTCCATCTTGGGTTTCTCTTTGGTTTTAACCTACAAGTACCTGTACAAAGGGCAGAATTACATCTGGGGGTTTTTTGTCTCTAAAATCAGAGGATGTAGTAGATTTTTATGCTTTTTGATGAGGGATGTTTAAAACCCGCCTCCGAGTCCCTTACAATTTAGATTAAACTTTCTCAAGTTCAGAAAACGGACAAAGTTAGAGCCTGCTTACTGTCACTTCACAAAAGGTTTGATTCCTCTTGGAAGTGTGAAAGCTCTGTATTCAAGCACAGAGGATTAAGGAGGAGCCAAGATGGCCCCTACCAGCAAGCCCATGTGCCGATCCCTGCAAATTGGAGATTAAGGGTCAAATAATCAAGTTCTGTGCTTTCAGGTCGAGAGTCTGTCGGCCATCTTCAATGGCAGCGAGGACCTGTTTGTGGTTGGGACTGGGGTGGAAAAGTTCCGGCCCGGCAGCTACACGGAGAACTCACCGTTCAAGCCGTCATCAAGACAGCGGGAGTCGTTGCGCAGAAAGTCCACAGACGAGAGTGACCAACCGCCCCAGAAGATCATTAAGAAATCCAGTAAGTTGACATGCTGGCATGGCACCAGCTTATCGACTGTTTTGACCGTCAGTGTAACACTTACAATATTAAGTCAAGATATTCAGGGATGAATCAATTTGAATAATTGAGCTTTGAATCTTCAGGTTTACCGTTCAGTTTTATACAAGAGATAAACTGTAGCTCCTGAGTATCAGTTCTGCTCAGGTGTTTTCATGCCTTATTGGGAATTCTCCTTGTGTAACCAAAAATGTTTAAAAGACAACTTTGTATCAGTTCACGTCCACTACACAACACCGATGTAAAAAAAAAATTGAAATTTGAACTAACACACCAACTGGTAGCTACTATAATCCATGTGGTTTAATACAACTTTCAGTTCCCTATTTTCATGTATATGCTCTTTGTATGACAAGCTCATGAAACGCTACGGAGGGCTTCGCTTGTAACGTGTAGTTCATGATTGTCTTTTTTTCCAATTTTTCAATTTGTCCAGGGGGGAAGTTTCACATGTGGGTCGCCACCAGCGAGAATCCCTCGGCAGGCACGGATGCCACGGTGTCCATCACGGTCTATGGTGACAAGGGAAGTCGGACGACATTGTCCTGGGCTGTGGCAACGGCAAGTTTGAATCGGGCAACGAGGACGAGTTCAATGTAGGTAGAGCAATGGATTTGAGCCAAACCGGGCACATATTGCAAAGTTCAAAGAAACCATTCTTTGCCTAAACCTTGTCAGAGTACTTAGCAAATGTTGAGCGTTTCCAATTCAGAAAATGGGGTCCCCCTTGAAAACAATCGACTACCAGATTCTGCATATGGAGTCTGATGGAAATGCATATTAACGCCAACATACCACGAACTCTCGAGAGAAGAGTTGACTGATGCGTGCGATTTGCTCTTTCCAGATCAACGTGGGCAGCATCGGCGACATCTACAAGATCAGGATTGGGCACGATGACAGCACGGAGTTCGCCGGATGGCTGTGCGAAGAGGTAAACGCCGCAGCATGCACATTTACAATGACACAGACCAATACCACGGGATCCCTGTGTGGCAATGACCCCTCCAGAAAGTGTAGACAATTTTCTTGTTCCCTTTGCAGCGATGTAACCGAGAGCTTCTTCCTGTCTTTGTTGCGTCCCCCAAAAGTCCGACAAATAAAAGCACTAGTTAGGCAAACACTGGTGTGTCAGCTGACGCACATGTAAATGCACTGTTCAGAAGTTACTGTGCCCAGCACAGAAAGAGAAATAGAAGAATATATCAAATGGAGCAGAAATAGAACATGGCGTTGACGTAGCTGTCTTTGATCTAATTTTGTTTGCTGTGTCTTACAGCTGACAAAATTTAGATTAATTTGGCGGCAACCAGAATGCATTTTAATGATGAGCGATGTGACACGTAAAGGGATTTTATACGTGTGCACACTTGCGAAGGCCATCATTGGTAATGTGCGTGTATTGAGTCGGTTCAGTTTAATATTAAGTTGGCCTGGCAACATGCAGTACTGTGGAAACGTAGTGACAAGTATTAAGGCATTCAAGCGTACATATGCGTGCTTGTGAAATGCGCGGTCCTCCTCTGCGGCCCAGGAAGAAACTTGGAACTAGCTTGTTGATTGGTTGACTTACCCGTACATGTGGGTCATTCTATATTTGGCGTCCATTTTGTTCCCATTCCTGTTACATCTGGCCTGTCATGTGCACCACTCGTGCATTGCAAACAGATTTAAAAAAATAACCATGCAGCTTGTCACTTGTGCAGGTCTTGGAATGGGAGAAAAACTGAAAAATCAAACAAAATATATTGAAAAAAATTGAATTAAAAAAAAAAAAAAACCCACTTTGCTTCCACCCTCCTGTTCATCTGATCCTTTCCAGTGTTCCCTCCTCTCTCAATAAAAATCAGCAAAATTATATATCCTTGCAAAAGCCAACACGCCCTCCCCAAAAACCAAAACCACAAAAAACCTCATCCATGTTTTGTATAAAGTCGATTACCTATGGAAGAAAAAGGGATAGTCAAAATCTGTCCGGCTTTTTTTCTCGGAGTTGGGACCATATTTTCCCAGACCAAATTCATGAATTTACATGTATCTGTTATTGTTTGCAGTATTCATATGTGACAAAGCTTTAGAAAAAATGGGGGTAATTGGAGTTCCCCTATACCTACAGGGGAACTCGGAATCTGTCTGGCTGTTTTCTCAGAGTTTAGGCCATTTTTTTCGAGACCAGATTGGTTGAATTTTTCTGTTCCTGTTTGCAGTGTTCAGATGTGACAAAGTTAAAAAAAAAAACTGCGGGTAATTTTGACCTCTGTCAACTCGGCTTCCCCCAAATGTTGTGCTGCTTCTTACCTCTTTTGGGCCTGTGAGAGGGGATATCACTCAATCCATTAAAATTGATTGATAGACATTTGTTGCTCTGACAACAGGTCGCATACAGGTGTGTTGTCACACTGCGCACCACAGCTTAATGCACTTTGCTTTAATTGCTTGGATGTGCCACGGGTAGCCTTGAATGCATGCTATGTATAGTTAATAATTATGGATGCCACGAGGAGGGAGCTAATCTTCAGAGTGTTCCCAGGTGTGCACGAGGCCTCGCTTGTTGAATGCACCACCACTTTCCCTTCCCCAATTTCCCCACAGTGAGAATAGGTTGAGCTCGGTGAGATACAGAGGCAAGGTTCCTTCTTGGTCGGCAGAATCCCGAGAGGAACAGTGAAGCCCTCCAATGTGTGCAGAAGGGGAAATAGATCTGGACAAAGCACCGAAATGAGCAAAGAATGTGAGAAAAACGGGATGAAATGCGCAGGTATAAAAAAAAGTAAAATACCTGACCAAAAAACAAAAACCCTTGACGGGCTGTCAAGTTTGAAACAAAGGAAAGAACCATGACACGCTCATTGGAAAAAGAAAGCTGGTAACACGTTTCAACTACTCGTAGTAAGCCTCTCAAAGTATTGAAAATTTCCTATTCGTCTTGCCTCCGACTAGTTTATTCATGAGACTGCACACCAGGTGCCGTTGCTGTAAACTAGAGAGACTGTACGTGTATAACGCTTCACAATGACGCGTGTAGGCACTGCTCATGTTTCACTTCAGTCTCAGGTGCCGTTATCAGGTTGTTTGTTAGAGGCAAAAGTAATGTGTCGTAAGAGACAGCAAGAGTTTTTGTCACTAGTTTGTTTGCCATCATGGTTTTCATAGTCGAGAGGCTGCAGACGAAAAAAACGAGGTTGAAAGAGGAATGAAGGAAAATGTTCTTGGTGCCTCCCCAACTTTGCCAGCATTCAAACTTGTCACTGCGATTGCATGCCTGTAGTTGTTATCTTGTCATTTTGCTTGAGTGACTTGTACATGTGTGTGTTATTTTTTCCTCAAACGATGGAATTGTGCATATGATCAATGTCAGAATTAACACAGTCCTCGACGGCCCCAGGAAAATTTACGGTCCATTGCTGCAATGCACTGATGAAGCAGAAGATTTGAGGTCGCAATATGGAGCCATTTTAATGACAATATGGGGCCCTTGCTGGCCGTGTTCATGACAGTTTGAAAAAAATAAAGAAAGAAAAAGGAAAGAACAGGACTAGTGATCAATACAAAGAAGAAGAGAGACTTGTAGAGAGCAAATTGGCAACGACTGTTGCCTCAAGGTCAGTGACAGGGGAGAGTTACCAAGGTATAAAGTGTTGCTGATATGCTCCCAGGGTTACAGAACAACTAGGAATGACACAATCAATACAGCCTGTCTGGCCTCACTGAAAACAGCAACAACATTTGATTGTGGGAACATGGCTGGACCGTGGCAAAGTTGATGCTTGGCTGGTATGCATTGAGGCGCGATACAGGGATGGTTTGCTCTGGTACTGCTCACTCCTGACATTGTTAGTTTTTCAGTGGAAGTTGTTTATGGGGTTAGGGTTAGGGCACCGTTTCTGAGTGGGGTGGTTTGCGCACTGAGTTATTCAACAGAAGTTTTATCTGAATGCGTACAAACTGACCATTGTTGTAGGCTGAGACCACAGTAATGGGAACCGGCCACATACATGTATAATGTGTATTTTCTGTCCTTTGTTACCAGTGCAAAACTGAGTGGTACAGCAAAGGAAAGAGCTTTTTTTTTTCTTTCTATATTGGAAACTCCATTCAGCAGAATCACTAAAAGAAAAATGGCCTAACAACTCATTTTAAGACATTCGGCCACATCTGCTTTTAATTTGAAATGCTCGGTTCTGCATTTACTGGCTGGTCCTAATTGTGAACAAAAGTGTGCATTGGTGTACGGGTAACACTGCATCTGAATTGATTGGTCATGGCTGGCTGGTTTTGAGTCTTAAAGGGGGAGAAACTTGTCATGTTCTTTTCTAAAAACAAGATGTCCAACATTTGTTCATCTGTAAAAAGAATCCATCACCCCCCTACCAAAAAATGGTAGTGCCCAATTCCTTAACAAAATGGTAGCATGTTAGTGGAGGAGTAAGTAGCTGCCACTCCCCCCCCCTTCCCCTTTGGAAACACCCTTGCAGGTAGTAATGCACAGGCCAAGAAGTGGACGTCATAGGCTAGATGTATTGTTGCCAGCTGGAGCCATGACATTTGAATGCACCTCAGTTTAATAGAGGGTTTGCGTGGCAGCCATTTTGCATGTCAGTGCTTTTGTTCCGCAGTGTATGCGTAATGGAGGTTTCCTCACGGAAAAAAAAATAAAGTGCCGTGCAAGACTGCTAACACTGGTTGACGGCTCAGGCCAAAAAAAAGGTTCTATTTCTAATTATATGGCATTTGAAAACAGGGTAGGGAGGTTGAAAATTGGGTTTTCTTGGGAGGGGGTCACTTTCACACTGATTCATTGTGCAGGTGCCAGTAAGTGTGAATTGGGTTAAGATTATGAACAAGAGCAAGAGATGTTGGGTGGCTTTGTCTCAACTGAAATGAACAGATTTTAAGCACTACTCAATGGCAAGTATAAATACACATGTACGTCTGTTTGTGCTACAGTCAAACTATAGTAAAAACCTCTTTTTTCTTCATTTCCAATTTTACATTTTCCCCAAATCAACCCCTCCCCCCCAAAACTCCTTTGGGGTGCGCCGTCAAACTAGAGTACCGGTGGGCGAGTGAAAGGGAAGCATAATATTTGGGGTTTTTTTTGCTTAAGTACTTGTATCTGATGTCATCGTAGGACCAATTAAATAGCACTCGCAGGAGACCAATCGAGAAAGGCATTAAATCATTCATGTGCGGACATTAGTTGCTATGTGACGTCCGCCGTCAGAGTGGCACGCCACTAATTAATGCTTGCATGCATACACCCCAGCGTTGTAACAGGGATAGCATCTCTGAAGTGGATTTGCGTCGCTCGTCACTGCTGTGGTGTAGGACATGCATGGTGTTTTCCCACAACCAAGGATTGTCCTAGATGACGAGCAGCCTGTCGGCCCAAAGCAATATGGCCAAACCCACTTCATCGTCATCGGCCCTTTACAACCAGACTTCAGTGTTTATAGTGGCTTACATTGTAAATAAGAATACTGAATTGTTCAGTTTGAACGTATCGGCCTTTGCCACGTTTATTAATTATGCCAAGACGTCTTTTTAATCACTAATTTTGAATCTCATTAGCAATTTCATGCCAATAAAAATGAAGTGTCATTGTCACAGAACAACTTTGTTGAAGCTATAATACAGTGTTCATGATGTGCAGTAATGTTTAGTGCAGTCTTTTTCACAAGGTAGCGTACCCGGCGTATCTAAGATGCAGAAGGTACCGGAAATTTCAAGAGAAATTGTGAGAATTAGAGAGCACCTCTAAGGAAAACACATTTTCTCTGATTTTATCTTTTCAAATAAACTTGGAAGCATCCAAATCGAATGCAGTGTCATTTGTCTTCAGAGCTCAGCTATAACAAGCTAAAAAGGACTTTTTTTCTGTTCATGCCAAGATGCAAATTCTGAATGCAGATTGCGTCATTCTGAGAAAACAGAAAATATGAGGGGAACCCTTGTCTTGTGTTTGTAGTGGATAAACCCTAGTGCATGTCAAACAGTGCTTGGCATGCACAAGGGTTTATCCCATACGAACACAGGGCGAGGGTTCCCCTCGGTTCCTCTGTTTTCTCAGAATGACGCAATCTACATTCAGCATGTTCAGAATTCGCATCTTGACATGAACCCAAAAAAGCCCTTTTTAGCTAGTTATAATTGAGCTCTGAAGACAAATGACCTTGCATTTGATGTGGATGCTTCCACATTTATTTGAACAGATAAAATCAGAGAAAACGTGTTTTCCTTTGAGTTGCTCTTTAAGGGAGAAGAGCAAAATTGAATCATTACCATTGGAGAATGCTGTGTGCACCTTCCTAAATGCTGTGAAATCAAATTACAGCTTGGCAGAAGAAAATTGGAATTGGAAAACAAATTACTGCAATTAAGCCCTGGGCACCTGCAGGTGTGAAAAGAAAGGTGAATGAACGTGGGGTTCACTAAGGGCTCCCGTCACTGAGTTGAAACGAAAAATGTTGACCCTGACATTCACATGTAATGTGTTGAAATGGTCCATTCTTTGGCTCAGGTGCGGCTTCAAGATGTGCACACCGGTGACGAGATGGTCTTCCCCTGCGGCCGCTGGATGTCACGCCAGGAAGACGACGGTCAGACATGTCGTGAGCTCCCCGTTATGGTGGACGGAAGCCCCGTGTTCCCAAGTAAGCTTGAAGGACCAGCATACCCCCCAATGTAGAGTTTTTTTCATCATGTCGATCACCGTTTTTTGCTGAGATATATCCTGCAACGTTGACGCATTATGTTGAGGCTAGCGAGTGCAGGAATTAATCTGTAGAAAAAAAACGTTCATTTAGCGAGGCTTTCAATCGTGGGTAGGAACTGGGACTTTTTAGGAAAAAAACGGAGCACTTTAAATTGTTAGCTATTAAAAAAAGAAGAATTGGACGTGAGCGCAAGTTCTGTCACAAGTAATTCGTGCATTTCTTATGTGAGTTGTGTCAGTCTGTGTGTCGGTCTGTATGTCAGTCTGTGTGTCTGTGTGTCAGTCTGTGTGTCGGTCTGTGTGTGTGTCTGTGTGTCGGTCTGTGTGTCACCAGATGCTTATATTCTCACTCTTCATATCCGTTGTAGTATCACTCCCATCAATTCCTTTTTTTGATTTCCCGAGAGCTCATCACTTGATATTCGCTGTCTCCACTCTTATACCGTGCAATCCCCAAACCTCATATTCTCTCTTGAAATCCGTGGGCTAAATTGAGGCATGACAAATCAAATATTGATGGCTTGAATATTTTTTGTTGGTAATGCAAACCTCCCTCGGCAATCCTTGAATGTTCCATCCTCTCTTGGCTGCATTGTTAATATTTTTTCCACTCATTGGACAGCAGTAATCACTTATTGGCCTTGTGCTGCGGGAAAGAATGAAGACTGTTTTCTCGAATGGCTTAGACAAGTCTGCGAAGTTCAAACATGCTCGGCATGCTTTGTTGGATATCTTTGAAACATGACATTGCCTTCCCTTTTCCAGTTGTCAGTTATCATGTGGCGGTTGTCACTGGCAACTATTGGAACGCCGGTACCACCGCCAAGGTGTACATAACCGTGTATGGGGAGAGAGGGGACACCGGTCCACGGTTACTGCATAAAACCAAGAGGGCCAAGAAATTTGAGAAAGGAAAGGTGAGTGCCTTCCGCTCAGCTATTTCTGTCTCATAGTCAACAACATTGTTGAAATATGCTTGCATCTGCCTTTCTTATCCTGAGAACCTAAACATATCACCCACAGCACGATCAGGATTTCATGTTAACTCCAAATTACTGGCCTCCGTTGTCAATATCTACACAGTTCAGATAAAAGTAAATGTTTTACGTATATATATGCCTTATGATCAGCCTCCAAGCAAGATTGTCAACAATTTGGAATAATCCAAGAAATTGCGTTATTGGGTCATGGATTTTCATAACTCGGTCACGGCAAAGTCATGGAATTTAATTGTCCTTTAAGTGCAGGAACCCTGCCCTGCATTTTTCCGCATCAATACTTCAATCCTTGGCACCAAATTTGCCATTTCTGCCCAAACGGTTCGTACCAGTGGATTAGACGCAGCTTTCTTTCTTGGGTCTGTGAAAGCATCTTGTCCACAATGACTACGCTTTATTTTTTGTTCTTTACTGGCTCAGCTCCATTATAACAGTCTTGGCTCTATGCCAGAAATGAACAGCAAATATGACTTAGAAATGCCTGACTTGTTCTCAGGGTTGTTTCAAGGTTAATGCCAGTGCCAATTGGACTGAAAATACAAAGAGTGTACTTATTTCAACCATTCATAAGTGCTTTTAGGGTTTATAGTCTTAGGGTTTATAGGGTAATTCAAGCAGAACTCATATTTAGCCTAAAGAAATGGATCTTAGCTGAGAAGACCCTTTTGGAGGGGATGTCCGGGGGGGGGTTGTGGAAGCCAGCATTTTTGGTGGGGGGGTATTATTGCGAGAATTGCCCAAGAAAAGGCCCCTGATTAGGGCTGTTCCCTGACACACGGGTAGCAATACGGTATAGTATTTGCAGCCCCCCTCCCCCCATTGCCATGTTTGTTATTTTTTTAGGAATTGAAAGTACTGATACTCTCAAAATGGCACTAAATTTTTGGGGGGGAGGGAAGGACTCTGTCCAAAAAATGGGACTACCTTTTGGAAACAAAAATCCCAGTTTTCCCCCTCCCCACCAAAACCTTGTACTCACGTTTGTTGCCTTACGTGGTATGTTTCATCAAACATGACACTCTTTGGGTGTTTGTTTTCTCTAGACCTTGGTCACATTTCGACCCCCAAAATATACTGCATATAGGTTGTGTAATTCTGTCGAAAAACAGCCAGATTAAGAACGCCGCTCGAGGAAATTTGAAAAATTCAAAGTGCATCATTGGTGGATGGACTTTGGACAAAAAGGCAAAGACTGTGGTTAAAGGCACCTCTGAAGAGTTTTGTCGACTGAGTAACGGTTACAATCTTCCCTCTTGTGGGTACCCTGAAAATGTCCAAGGCCGTGTTTACCAGTGCCAAAATCTTTTATTGCGGTGTATAGGGCATGAGCAAAAACGGTAATTTGCCTGATAAAACACGATACCTTAGCATTGATTCGTAGGGTTTTCATATTTGTAATATTAACAGACGGATGTATTCAACATTGAGGCAGTATCTCTTGGAATGCTGAAGAAGATTCTCATCGGTCATAACTCAACCGACCCAGGTAAGTGGATTTCGTTTGCATAAACCCCCAAAACGAGGCCACTGGCTGCAGACCACGGAAAACAGAAAACAACAGTCCTAATGAAAGTTGTGAAAAATCACGGATGCACGGAGAGGCACTGTCTGGGGGGGAAAAATCATTTCCCCACCAAAGTTAATTAAATCCAAGGCCAAGAGGTAGGTTGTTGATATCTTCCATTTCATTACATGACATCATCCTGTGATGAGATGATAAAATCTCAGCATATCAGATAGCACCTCTAGAGATTTCTAGTAAATTGGACATGTTGCTTTCATGTTCAAATGTTACCCAGCTTCTGTTTCTTCCATTTGCCCTCCAGATTTACATGTATGTGTACATAAAGCGGAAAAAAAAAGTTTCCCCCAAACTCTCTACTTTGCTTTAGACATGCATCTTTCGAACGCAACTCTTTTACCTGAAGAAGTCCAGAGTACACTCTTTGCAATATTGAGTGAAACTTTCTGTTCTCACAAAAGAGAATTGCTCACATGGCTTTACCACAGACCTCCTCACAATTGACATCTTAGGAAATTGAATGCATTAGTCACTGACCATCGATGTTTTTTAAATGCATCCAGGTAAACATTTTGGCTCACGGCATCTTCTGTTTGTGGCTAAAGGCGCCTTTACGCTTGTCAACACTTGTGCCAAGTGTTGCGTATCCGTCAAAATCGCTCGCTGTGTGATTTTGATGGCCAAACGCAATGCATGTGTGTGTGTTACATGTATGTTAATGGATTTGATTTTTGTGTCCTTGAAAGTGGAACGCATGAACGCATTCGTCGCATTGTGTACGCAACGCATCCCAAAACATAAATGTGGAAAGGCGGCTTAAAGCGTAGGCTGATTGTTTCAGTGCTGTGAGAGATCCTATTTCTGGGCATTTGCAAACTGAAACACACGGTCTCATCCTCAACACATCCCCCTCTCTCATGGCTGCAGAGGATGGCTGGTACCTGGAAAAGGTGGTCGTCAAAGATCACAAGGGCTCCAGTCTGGAGTCTGTCTTTCCCTGCCACTGTTGGCTGGATGCGACGCTCGACGAGGACGGCAAGACCAGCAGGGAGATCTACGTCAGCAACAAACCCACCAATTGTGAGTTGACGGTCGTCACCGACCTGATCCACCCCACATACCCTCACCTTAACCTTCCCAGATCCATCAAAATCCCTGGGAGTGTTGCAAAGATTTTGTAGGTTGAAGGAACTTGAAGGCACAGCTGAGCCACTTGTACTTAACTTTCAATTCGGCCATGCCCATTTAGAAGTTCACAGATTCCTACGCAGTGGGGGATTTTGAAGGATGCAGGAAGGTAGCTTTCCACTTGCATGCCATTTCAAGTGCTTTGAATAAGAAATGAACCATTAATTTGCTCTGTGTTGCCCGCCAACTCTGACTAAAAACTCAATATGTTTGTTTTTTGAAAAAAAAAGCATTAAACTTTTGTCGCTTTTAGTGTAAATGACTGTTGGATTAGAGTTGTCCATTTTCTGCCATTTTTTAATTTCAGATTGCAGTGCTATTTTTTGGACATTTTCATGTGGTGTAAACAAAAGAAAAATTGTTTTTTAACATCATAACCCCAAACAGAACCAAAGGCCATATGTGACTGCTCTCCCAAGCACCAACTTTCCAAACTCTCGACTAAGTCAATCCAGGTACTGGGTTGGACTTCCTCAGCACGTCCTAACTTTGTAATTAAATTTCACCCAAAGGACGCATCCCATAATTCACATGCCACCTGTGCACTAGACATGTTTCCTTGGGGCCTCTGCATTCCTGATAAGATTTGTTTTCTGAGAACACCCATTATCAAAATCTCCATTAGCGACCCTTCTGTACTGTCGGTAATGACAATTAGTGCGGGGTAAGTGTCTTCTACGGTGATCACTAATGAAGTAATACATATACATCCCAAGAAGCTCAAACTTTGAATGAGAATTTAAGGAGGAAATTTTCTCCTAAGTCTTCCATTGATGAGGGTTTCCATGGTTGCAGCTCCTTTTGTGAAGAGGTATTGCATGTAGATAATGAAGGACAGCTTTCAGAAAAAAACAAAAAGAAAGAAAGAAAAAACGCAAATGCATCAACGGAGATGAATGAGAGATACTTCGTGTCTGTCTGTGGCGTTCATTTTCCTTGACCTTTAACCTCAACTTGCATGAGCATGTACATGTAGAGTTGGCTGTTCTGATTTGACGTGCTTTTTTGTTTTTTTGGTGTGCTTGAACACGACAAAAGTGAAATCTACCACTTGGCTTTATGCCAAAGATGATCAGCTGTAATCTGCTGCCCCTTCGTATGATGACAATTCTAATTTTACCTTTTGTTGTCAGTACTGTAACATTCTCATTGAATGGAAAGACAATTGGGTGATACTCAAGTAAACTGTCCCGTAAAAGACTAGTTGTACCGGTAAAACAGTTTTGAAATATTCTGTTTCAATGAAAGATTTCTTTCAAGTTCAAAATAAGGCCCTGATATGTCAAAAGTCATTTGACTGCCATAAGGACCTTTTGGTACTGAGCCGAAAATTAAAGTATTTCGATTTAAGCAGTGTACACATTGAGGAATTTGACATACATTGAGGTATTTTTCACACATTGAGGTATTTTTCACACATTGAGGTATTTTTCACGCATTGAGGTATTTTTCACACATTGAGGTATTTTTCACACATTGAGGTATTTTCACACATTGAGGTATTTTTCACACATAGAGTTATTTTTCATACATTGAATTATTTTTCACACAGTTAAGCACCATCGTATGATGGTTCTGGGAAAGGCACAGTAGTATGTATTATGCATATTTTTTGAAATGGTTTGAATCACAGTTCATTCTTATCTTTAGCTGTGTTTTGATTGGCTCGTTACTAATAATACTATTCTTGGTCATTTCCATTTTATTTCATGCTTGGTTGTCATGGCTGCATGCATCTCATGATTGGATTTGCAGTGGAAAAAGAAATGGTGAGGATTGGACATTGTTGTTGATTGGACATTTTTTGTAGTGTCAAGAAAGAAATTACATTGCACTTTGTTCAGTGTGAAAAAAGTGTGTTAAACTTTGAACAAACGGGGAACATGAACACCAAAGCAGGCATTTCACAATAGCGTGCCACTGAGAATGTTCAATGTGTGAAAAGCATCGACCCTTTCCAACTGCGCATTGCTGGTTGACACATCCGAACGTGTCAGCCCATTCAATCACGCATTGCGTACAGTGGCCACTGCGCTGCAAATTCCTGGTGGCGCACTATTGTGAAATGCCCTTATTGGAGAATCTAGCCCATAACCATTCAGATCTGTTCCTATTTGTTCATGCAGTAATACTGTAAGTGTGAAACCGGTAGCATACATATATGTGACCTGCTCTACAAAAAGGTGTATTAATTCGCGCCATGCAAAACGCGTAATGGCTCATTCCATGTGCCGAGGGTGGAAATATTTGGAAATATTTTGAGGCCAATTGCTTGACCAGAAAGCCTCTGTGGCTATGGGAAACCAAGAGAGTGTCTAATTTAACTTTAATGTTTCTGTGCATTAAGTATCAAGGGCATTATCTCAAAACCCATTTGTGATAAAATGAAATTGTATGAATATACAAATGGCAAATAACTCCAAACCGCAAAATGCCACTGGGATGAATTATATATCAAACGAAAGCTTAGGATGTATGCAATTTGATTGAATATGATTTTGAATTTGATTCAAAAAAATGTTACATAATACACTCTGTTCCGAGAACGTGTACACGTCTAATGCATTATAGCAGTGTACCGGTGTGCAGGTATTTCTAATGTGATCTTGATGAGTTATATGGCAGATCAAGCGCTGATGTCCCCCCCCAGCTCATTTCACGCCTAGTGCCACCATCCAGACGCAAGTTCTAACAGCTGTGTGCGTGGCTTTTCTCAACCTAAACGAAAACACATTTGGCTTTTCTTTCAATCGATCTGTTTGTCAACTTCACAATATCTTACTCAGTGGGAGCAGGAGAAGTGGAAGTTTAAGCCTAGCAACCAGATGGTCTTCATCAGCAAAGGATCCGGGAAAGCCGTACAGATCAAGGCAGACGGTTCCGTGGAGGCAACTGCTGACCCGTATTCCCTCCCCAAAACAGGTAAAGGGTGAGGATTTCTTTTTTTCAGCTTCAGCAGAAAGCAGACAGAATGTAGAGAATAGGGCTGGGCAATTGGAATAATTCACCATTAGAATATTTGACCTTCAATTCGATCGAATATCTGAATATTCAATCCTACATGTACCAACTGGCAGATTGTTGATAAACCATGTACAAAATCAGTTGCAATAATGTACACAATTGTACATTATAATCACTATTAGCTTCTCACATCTAGGAGTATCTCCAGCCACAGTTTAAGAGACAAACAATACTTTTTGTCCTGTTGAAAATTTCTAATCCTTTAGATTTTTTAATGAATGATTTACTTTTTGAATTGTTGTAAGATTTCTGTCGCTTTTCATTTCAATCTGCTTGAAACAAGCCTCCATAATGCAACTTTTCTCATTTAAAACAAAAATAATCTCCCTTCCTTTTCTTGAATTTTGCATTTGAATATTTGAAGTCGGAAAAGAAGATTCGGATATGCGATAATTGATCGAATAGTCGGATATTTGGCACAGCTCTAGTGGAGATTTACCCTTTCAAAATGGAGTTTAGCTAAAAAAAAACGCTGTCCAAGTCAGGGTTCTAGAAATCGAACAACAAGCACATGTTGTTTTCTGACGTTCTGATTAGTCAGTTCACAGTGCCATGTCCACCTTTGTCATGGTTCAGTTTGTTTCAAAAAGTGACAAAGACATGAACATGTATGCTTGACAGAAGTGTTGGCCCAGCCATTTTAAGTTGATGTCGAGGGCACAGCACACTTTGAAGTTAAAAGGAGTTTTTAGAAGCCATGTTAATTAATTGATAATGGAACTGGGAGAAAACTGTCTTCAGAGGGGGCTGTTGTTTTCTTTGTTCTGTATAATTGGTCTTGTTAACGATATGTGCGGGGCTGCATACCTGCGGGTAATAGTAATTTATTTTACTGTTGCAGTCCCTGACCCACATAACTGTTATTTGTCTTGTTATGTATTCAGATTTTTGTCCCTGGTCCCTGCTACTGCTTATGTTGACTTGTATGTGTGTTTTGGTTCTTTTTCATGTACATGTACTTTTTTGTTCGACATTACTTTGTTTGTTCTTGTGATGGTTAAATAAATAATAATAATAATATTTTAGATTTCAAACTGAAGAAAGTACATCTACCACTGTAACTCTTTGATAAAGTGCAAGAAAATCAGCTAATAATTTTCCTCTCCAGTGTTAATCGGATCAGTTTGATCACGGCTTAAGTTTGCCAGTATTTTTGTCCTGCAGCAATATTTGAAGCGCAGAAGGTAAAACCCAATGTCCACATCATCAGCAGCGTTGCAAACCCAGAGCACTGTATTACAATGGACTCCAACAAGATATCCAACAAGGTAAGATTTCAAGTCATTCAAGAAGAGATATCGACAAATGGGAAGAGCCACCAACATAACGCTGGGTAGAGCACTGGTACGGTGTTCCAGAGGCCGCAGGTTCAAATCCCGCTCCAGTCAATTTTCTTTGTTCATCTTTATAATCATTTATAAGCACCTAGTCAGTTTCCCTATATAGTTGCTTTCATGAAAGAACTTCACAGAAAATGGAACAAAAACCCCCAAACAGAAAAAAAGAAGACCACACATGCATGCATAAAACAAAATCACACTTAACAAAACTTCCAAAACCAGTAACCTGTCTTCGCATGTGTATTTTAAATACACAGGTGTAAGTATTCTTCGGGTGAGCGTACTAAAGTTGGGAAATGTGTCGGGAGCGTTTTTACCCCCAAAAAGAGTTTTTTGTTTACGTCGATTGAGTATACAGTTTAATCTGAAATCAAATGTCAGTGTCATTTCTGTGGTATTCGTTACTGTGGAAAACTCTTCTCCCCAAGGGGAAGGGAAACGAACTGAAGCTGCGCGTTCAGATGGATAGGAGCATCGTCATTGAGACGGCCAAGAATTCATCCCAGCTGTTGACGTTTGGCCAAACAGGGAAGCCAGGCGACGTGCGGGGTCCGGCGTTGGGTCCAAACCGGCAGTTCTTCTGCTACGTCAAGGTACGACTCTTGACCCAACTGGTGTCGACACTTTTGGTGAAAGTGGGGTTTAGTTTGAGCAGCTGCAAAGGCAGAGATGCTGCCAGAGGTGGGAAATATACATTACCTACAGTGGGAAGAGCCCAAGCCAATCACAGAAGGTGCAACTCCTGCCTAATACCAGCAGTGTATTATGGGAAATGGTCAACATCCCTTAATACACATTATGCATTAATTTATTTGAATACATGTAGCATTAGGTGACGGACGTTAGACAGTTGTGGCTTTTTGCGATTTTTATTCTTTTTTCTTTTACATTTACAGGTAAATGGAATGTTTTCTATAAATAATTTTGCCGTGTTTCTAAAAAATGCATTTGTGCAAATGAAAAGCATTCTCCCATGTCTTTAAATCCGGACGTTGCAAGTTGCAAGTCAGAACTTGTCTATGCGCAGTTTATTGGAGTAAGGGGGGCCTTGTCTTCTTTTCAGGGCATGTTCCGAGACGAAGGCATTACGATGTTCTACACCTCCCGCATCCAGACCCTGACGGTCACGCCCGACCGGTCGTGCCGCGCCACAGGTCAGAGGTCGGAGGAAGCCTACTGGAGGATACACAAGGTTGGGGATAGCGGCTCCGTACGGATGTTGGAGAGCCTGTCCCAACCCGGAAGCTTCCTCCGAATCAAAGACGGACACTGTGACGTGCAGGTAAGTAAGGGGTGGAAGCAGGGTCGTATTCGCTTCCACCATAAGTCCCTGTAAGTCCATCACAAGTCCGTCACCAGTCATTCGTTCTTAAGCCCATTCACGAGCTATTCACATGAGCTATGACAAAAGCATTCTTTTGTCATTGTTCACCCTGTTACTTGTGACTGGCATTGTGAAGAGACTTGTGACTGGACTTGCGGAAGGACTTTTGATGGGCTCGAATACAACACCAGGTAACGGGAGATTGGAAATAACTTAAGCCAGCATTCAAGACCGAACTTGTGAAGGGCCTGCAGAATTTAAATTTATTAGCTGTTGGAATTTGGTTGGAATTTCCGACAGTATAGATAACTTCTGGCCAGTACTGGAAGGAATCGGTCAATTTTAGGGAATTTCGGGCAGTTTTTTTTTTTCATGTTGGGACACGTTTCAAACCTTGATACATTTTGCAAGTTAGGGATGGCTTTAATCAATTGTACATAATTGCAACTTGCTGAAGAAAGAAAGGAAACACTTGGTTGAAGTTGAAACAGGTTTTGAGCTTCAAATCTGCCCTTTCACAGGTATTGTCTTTGTAGCACTAAAACCAAACTTAGTCTTCACAATTTAAAGCTTGCTCATGCTGATTTGTAGTCCGCGGCCCTCACTTCATGAAATGAACGGGAAGTGTTTCACTTTGTACATTTTGGCTGGCAGTGGGTAGGAAAAAAATTGAGCCTGGTAATTAACTCAAGAAACTGAAAAATCCTGGCATTGTTGACCTTCGCAGGGATCCGGAGACAACTGTTGTCACTTCAAAGTCCTGCGAGTGAAGGATAAGGGATACGTGAGCCTACAGTCAGTTGAAAGCGCCGATGTGTGCGTCGGCTTTGTTCCTGACGGGAATGTCAAACCAACCGTGGATACAGGAGAAGACAACGTGAGACTCTATCCTCACGTCATCCAGTGTGAGTTGATAAAATTACTCTTGCTTCAGCCGTAGTTTTGTTGTAGCATTTACGGTTGTTCTGGGAGGTGAGCAAACAATGGGCATCAAGCCACTACGACCAAATGTTCAAGTAAGCGTGCAAAGGCTTTTCTGGAAGATTGGAGTGGGAACATTCCCCCAATTTCTGCAATGAAGGACGTGAACTCCTCTCCTGAAAAATAGTATTTGTAGTCGTATTTGTACATGCCTCGTGGGCTAATAATTCCGTGTCGATTACGATGGCCCTTCCGTTTGGTGTATTTTCTTGTCTTTCAGTTGGGACCAAGAAGTCGGTTGTCACTCCAACCCCACCGACCTCTGCCAAGCCTGCTGTCAACAGGAAGAAGCGTAAGCCATCTTTTGATCAGTGCCTTTTAAGATACACGTATTGACTATATGCACAAAGCACACAGGGTCCTACAATAGCATGTTATGGCTTCTTCAATAAGTAGACACATCATATCTAGCCTTGTGGCCTTCCTTGCCTCCTGCATGCCGTTCTTTCTCTTGTGTGAGATGTTCATATTTATCTAGGAAAGCAATGTTTTGCCAACCAGACAGGGCGAACTAGGCTGGTTCCTACAAGTCTTGCATTCTAGATACTGAAATGACAGGCCGTAGGTAAGAATTCCTATGTCACAGGTTCTTGTGCACTGTTATCATATCATGTTGTGTACTAGGATTGTGCACGTAAGAAGGGTCAAGAAGTCCCATCCATCAGTGAGTTAACAGTTATAAAATGGCAGGCTAGACAGCACAGACCACCTTCCCATCTTTCGACTAGTCGTTCCAATCCCTCCTCTGCAAAACTGTTAAAAGTTGCAAGTTCTGTTCGTCGACTGGAGTGAAGTTGTTCTTCGTTGCAGGTGTGCTGAACAAGCAGTCCAATGGGAACGCCAAGAAGACGGCCGCCCTGCCTCTCACGCCGACGCCCACCCCCTCGCCCCCGGTCCGAGAGAAATCCGTCTACGATGGTGAGTCGTAGTAGACGGCAACAAAGCCACGAACCCTTGATCCCCTCTCTGAAGATTTTACAAAGAGCCGTTCCAGCCTGCCAGTATCCCTTCCTGTGATCTACGGAAAATTGCGCATTCTCTGACCTCCAACAAAAATTTAGATCCA